GCAGTATTTTATGGGCGCGGAAATTTAATAATCGCGAAAACATCAAGCTCTATGAATGACAACAGAATCATAAACTGTTTTTATTGCTAAATTTATGACTTCTATTTTTTATTATTTTATTGCAGATAGTTGAGTTTGCATGTTGGTTTCAAATTAAATTTTATGCTAATGCCGACTGAGTGATGGGACGATGAAAGTGATGAAACGAGAAAAGTCATCAATCATACGGAGGGTGTTAATTAAGTTGTTAGCGTCATGTTCCACCAAACGCCTTTAAACAAAGGTGTACGTGCGTGTGTGTGGATGATATTTTATTGAAAATTATGATATAGCAATTTTTTGGTTGCACACCAGCCAAATTTTAATATTTTGCTTATATATGCAACCAAACTTACTCCAAACCGTATAATATCCTGCAAGATGGCTGACAGTAGGTAAATGCTTGTTGGTGTTAACTTTGCAACTCCTCGAGGATTTAACGCTCTCGCGATCTTAACGCGACGTCTCCGTTTGTTTTTAGTCTGTGACGGCGACAGCGCTCCCTTCGGGCGAAAATCAGTACTCTCGTCGCGCTGAATAATGAATGTCGACTTATGCAAATGCGATTTCCGTCATCAAAATGGCGAAAATATTACGTTGGTGATATGAAAAAAAACATAGGTTTAAATTCGAATATTTGATGATTCGAGATGTGGGAAATTTAATAGTCCACGTTCGGATCACGCGCATGACACGAAGAGACACGATGACACGTCGACAACGCACGAAAACAAATATTTACGCGTTGCCTTGACATCTCCGGCATCACACCGGATGTGCCAATAACACAATTCTAATTGTCATTTTCTAATGAGAATGTATGAAAATGTCATTTACACGCTTTTATTTCATCAAATATTATTTTAATGACATCATTTTTATTGCATACGTCTGCCTTCGGAGTAATTTTCATAACGTAAAGCAAATTCGGAGTAATGGCGGCTCGGGCTTGGCGGCCATTACACAGTACAAGAAAACTGTCATCCACATGGTATTACGACGAGTGTAAATCAAATCGATGTGTAGTGCAGCCGGCGTACAAATAGGTTCGCGCTCTTGTTTGTCATTCGCAATGATAGCTATTAAATTGGACGCTCATTTTATGCGATCTGCACACGTACAGATCTCGACCGAATGCGTGTCGATGCGGAGGTTTTCCGTTACGTGTTTTTCCGTTCATTCGTTATTTGCGCTCTCGAAATTATTGCGTCTTGGTTCAACATGATTATCCTTGAACTACTGCCATTAGCTTTTATTAGATAGGTACTTGCATTTGCTGTGACTTCGTCGATGTGAATTTTAATAATAAAGTTATACAAACATATCTATTCTAACTCGAAATAAATTTTACGCATGTAAGCAAATATAAGAGCCATCTTAGTTTGAATTATAGAACTATAAGTATCATTAAATCTTCAGACCAATTTTCATTCCTTATTTGATATTCTTCAAGTAATATTTTGTCAATGTTATTTTGCAAGATAAAAAAATCGTTATACCAAAATTTAACAAAATCATTTTTGTGCGTTTTGCATGAAAATCACGTTTTCTGGAATTTTTAAGTTTAATTTAAGAAAACATTTTACCCCAGGTAATCATTTTATAATTATAAAAAAATATATTTAATTTAATCGGTAATTAATTTAATACGGCATTTATTGATGAGGAGGTACAAAGTTAGCCAAGACAGTTTAGTAAGTACCTACCTGTGTGAAATTACAATTCAATTTTTTATTGTTAGAAAGATTGTTTTTGTATTGATGTTGGAAATGTAGGCGGGTTGAATAGAGGATTTGTCCCGAAGGGTCCTTGACTCGATCGTCCTTGACGCCTTTCTGGCGCGTGTGAAGCGCTGCAAAGCTTAAACCTTCGCGACCCCTCGAGGGCTAAAATTGAAGTGGAAAAATTGATTTCAATCCATGTTTTGACAACGGCGACATGCCACGAAACTCGAAATCTAAGAATTTGATCACAAGCGAAAAGAGATAAAACAAAAACGGATACTTTAAAACTTTTTTTTTTGATAAGTTAAGTTATAGGCCAATAAAATAAAATAAATACAAAACTAATTGAATTAAAATTCTATATGAAATTGACAAATTGACTTTGGATATTGTCGGAATTAAAAAAATGTTATTAGCGGCATTAGTAAATTAATTTCCAAACTGGTTACGTACCACGTACACCCGCACGCATTTTGTCACGGATAAAAACGCATAAAGAACACAGGTGTCGTAGTGGTTGACTCTAGGAAGCAATGTCCATTAGTTAATCGCTGGTCTTTTTACGTAACCACACGTGCGTGTCTTAAAATAATTTAATACCCAAAGGGTTTACGAGCGGCACGCAGAATTACATAAATTTTATCTGTTTACTGCATAAGCCTGATATCCTGAAAAATGTCAAAATCATAAAAACGTGAAGAATATCTTAAGATTATCATAATATCATAAGATATTTTACGTAACCGTACAATAAATTCAGGAAAAACATGATTTTAGGTTAGTTTTGTTAACTGTAAAATAAAATTTGCTAATATTTGATATTTTGCTGTAAAATCAAGCCTTAAGTGATCGGCGTTGCGAAATAGCGCGATATCGATTTACACGCAAACTAATAACCGCAATAACTCGATGAAAACAAGACGCCCCGCCACGAAACGAAACGGTGGCAAAGACGAGCCACTAGCACAACATGTATTTGCGGTATACAGCGGGGATTCGCGAAAGATATCGAATGCGGTCATGCGAACCACCGAAGCCTGCAGCAAGATTGCAAAACTGGCTTTTAACGTGTAGTGCAATCGCTCACCGTTGATCAAACGCCGCCAAGATGGAAGAGTAGTGGGGCAATCATGGCGGCATCAGGTTCCTAGCGAATTCACTCACTTGTCTATTGATCACACCTATCAGTTACAAAATCTCATTACTTAGTTTAGGTACATTAGAAATGTGCAACAATATTTGGTTCAACATTTAAAAAAATTACATTAAAAAGTATTTAAAGTTTAATTTATGTAAGTCTTTTATTTGTGTTTTATGTCTTCTAAAAGCTGTTTACTAAACACGACGCTCTTATCAGCCCTCAACAGCGGTTGGCACTGCTGAGGCTGATGTAGCGTTGCATCCACACTGGTTTTTTTTTTTATTTACTTATTTACTTATTTCGCCGAAAGCTTTTCTTACATTTTTTCCGCGATGTCTTTCGATGCGACGACGGTCTTTGTCTCGGTCGGTGTTGTCTGGTGTGTGAGCTATCCTGGCACTCTTGACGGTCCAAATGGCTTTTAAAAGCGAGACGAGTGTCCAATTTGCGCGTCACAATGCCGAGCGGCGCAAAAACGGATTCCTCGCGGTCGAAGTGGCGGCATGGCGGCAGGATGCGCCCGTGCCCGTGCCGTTGATTGAGTTTTCGCCGCGCAGACGGCAGACGCGCGCACGCAGGAACGAGGACACGCGGCACGCGGCGCGAAGACGTAACCCCGTAACCTGTAACATTTAGAAATCGGCGAATCTAGGTCGCGAATACAACGCTCTGGCGCACGGGCGCACGCACATAACCTATATTCCAGTGGTCTCTGGCTGGATGGAGAAGAAGTCATGGAAACGGGATTTCGGGGATTTCGGGATGCGTTTTAGCATGAAATGAAAACACTCAAAGTGTTAAAGTGGGATTTGTTATAGTTTTATTCTTCAAACAAGACGAAAAATAAGTTTGCGAATCAAATACGCGGAAAAATATTACATTTATTTCCGAGATGAAATATTGCACCTGTGAAAATGGAAACAATTTAATATTTGTTCGCGGTGAAAATACATCTTGCGATGTGTCAGCTTGTAACAGCATAAACTTTGATAGTGCTGTTTATTCGTCTTTTTTAACTTTAGTTTTGACTCACGGCTTTCACGGCTTTTCCTACGCAGAATCGGATTTAGATTACATCTACACAAATTGACAGTAACACAATTTAAGACTTTAATATTAAAATTGCTGAGATTTTTCTTACAGTATGCTACAAAAATAAGTTGTGACTAGAAAAATACTCTTTTTATAAAAAGAGTTTTATTTGTTGAGCAGGTTGATAAAAAATAGTTTATTTAGCAAAATAAACATGCACGTGCAATTTCTTCTAAGGTCCGTGATAATTTGTACGCGTTAAGTTTGTCGTTTGTTTGTTTAGTCCGTGCCTGTCGCCCGCCGCACAAAAACTTCCCCGAACTTGTGCGGGAGTTTGTCAGCGCAGTGCCCGAGTGTGCGAATAAGGTCACGGACAGCAGCCCGTTTTTCCCGGCTTGGTGTTTGTTTACGATAACAAATGTTTTCCGTATAGTGTGTCTGGACCGGACCCACTTCAGCCCTCGCACTCGTTCATAGTTCACACTCTTTCTCGCATCGTTTACCCGCCGTTAGAGATTCTCAACGCATGCCCAAAATTTGCTGAGGGTTGGCGAAAAAAACACTTTATTTTTTTCCGTATATAAAAGGACGTTTATTGAAAATAAGTCTTAATATAATTCCGGGAAATGTTTGAATAAAGTCGCATGTTTTCGGAATTTCATTCACAACCTCCTTTTGAAAGAGGGTGAAAAGGTGTGAAGGGAGCACGTTGGACAAGTATGTGTGTTATTGTTTGTAGCCGCACGTTTCGCGCATGAATTGAACCCGCTAGTCCGGCGATTTTCGCGATGCGTGGACGTGAACGTGCCGCCGCGTGCTCTCAACACTTTGTTCACGCTCGGAGGCGGTAGTCCCGTCCCCGTCACGCGCATGCCCCATCCGCTCGCACGCGTACAAACATGGAAACATGGAAACAATAGCCGAAGATCAAGAAACTGAATATGAACTTGGTAAGCACCATACAACATACACAAAGTGTAAAATTCATCAATTTTCACCAGGAATATAAATTAATAATAATTTATCTTATGATAATATGGTGTTTGTATTGTTTTGTTGTATAGATAAAGTAAAGAAAAAATATGCAAACTTGGGCGCGAGCATCCTGATGGTGCAGCTGGAGAGAAGCGTCGGGCAGGGCTTGGGCCTGAGCCTCGCCGGGCACAAGGACCGTAACTGCATGGCAGTCTTCGTCTGCGGTATCAACCCAGCCGGTGCCGCCTTCCGAGCCGGCGGCATACAAGTAGGCGATGAGATCCTCGAGGTGAACGGTGTCGTCCTGCATGGTCGCTGCCATCTCAATGCGTCTGCCATTATCAAAGGCTTATCAGGACCAATATTTAAACTTATTATTTTAAGGTATGTAACCCAACACACATTTTTCTAAGCAACAAATCATAATAACGAAAATCAAAAGTTATTATGATCGTACGCCACGTCGCGCCTAATTATTACCAACCGCCAGCAGTGTAATATCAGCTTCCAATTAAATATACGCGAAAAGTTGCCAAAGTGTAAAATTAGATCCGCAACCAGTCGCACACATACACATACATATATAGCACCGAGTTGTTCGTTTGTTTCAACATCAACTCACAATTAAAAAAAGTCATAAACAATGCAAGTTATAGCGAGTAAAATTTACAGTTTCAACCGGAATAATTAACATATACATACATGGGCGTAATGATTAAATTTCGAGCATCAAAAACCTTGCACCGAAACTTTCCGTATGTGTTTGGTGTTTGAGTGATGTAAATGTTGGGACAAACAGAGAAAAAAAAAACTAGTGGGGACCCCACTCGCGCGGCACATCACAGAGATAGAAGCTCGCGCATAAAAAGCGTCCCTACTATTAACATTAAAATATTGCGCAATGCCATCGACGTGCCACTACCAAACACACATACTAGACGCGCTATGTGTTTGCATGCGATGTATGTGAACAAATTGTAGCGGTCGCATTAGCGTACATACTAACACTCACATACTCACGACTCGTCGCGAGTTCGCGCATTATTTCGATCCTCGAGGGCGATAAAGATACGTGATATGTGTTCGGGAACGAGTCGCGTCCGCACTGGGTTTTTAGTCGCGGCCGCGCCAACCTAACACGCACGCACACGCAGCAGCGTAAATAAACCGCGCGAGAACCGCGCTTCTCGGCCGTTTGCAATCCAGCAGGCTGCGTGTCGTGCGCCGAGCGTTGTTTCAATGCATATTGAAACATTGAAATTTGCTGTGTGTGCGCGCGCGGCTGAAACAAAAGACAAATCAACCGAAAAAACAACAATAACGTGTTGATTGCACTGTTTGCGAGGGTGGTTACTGTGGTGGCCTAAGTTGTTCTAATGCGCTAGGTACACAAACCGGGAGAGTGTTTTGTTTTCGTACAGACGTGCTGGATTCGTTAAAACTTGCGAACTTGGAGCAAAATATCGCACGGTAACAATTCATTGGATTAAGTTTCATATATTGCCGGCGGTTGCCGCTAGCTGAATTTATGTATTATGCTCTTTAAGTATAAGTTATGTGTTGTTGCTGTAGCGAGTTAGAAGTGAACAGTGAACAGTTTGCAATCGGCAAACGTGTGGTCGACGTGTGGTTCTGCTTGTGTGTGTTTCTGTGTGTGAGCAATTTCTGAGAGTCGGTTACCGTGCCAACCTTAACCTCACTTTGGGGAACTTTTTGTACACTGAGAGTTTTCACACGGCTTCTCTTTTGTCCAATTGCAGGCGAAAGGCAGCCATTGATGACATCGCAGTGCGACCAATCACACAGTTTCCAGTCTCACTTTCCGAAGAGGTAAGTCAACGCAACACACGAATATTTATTAGAGGGGAACAAAACAACTGTTTTATCAAAGCAGGTTGAACAATTATCAAACCGCAAGATTGCTTTAAATGAGATTTTAATTCGCGCACAAAAAGATTCATTGTATTGCAGTTTACGAGCGTCAAGTCAATGACGCATCGTAATTGTTGAGGTCACTGTGTAATGGCGTCATTGCGCTACTGCTTCCTCAGCGTGTAAACAATTAGGAACGGTGGAAGTGATGCAACACACACACTGCCTGCGTAACTGTTACAAAACTTTGGAGGAGAAAAAAAAAGAACGCTAACTAAATAAACACTTAAATCGTGTTCATCATAATATTATCATAAGATTTGAAAGCGTAAATAAAGCATATCTGTCAAAAGTGTCAAAAACTATAACACGCCATTTTCGTTTACTATAACCTCAAATATTAGCTATTTAATATGAAAATATTGTCTTAATTAAATATTGCAAGTGCAAGTTGCCGGGATGGATGCAAAACGCTTTCCTTGCGCCGTTTGCGCCGCTTTTACTATTTTTCTTCTTATATATCTATAAAAAAAGAAACCCACATCATCATTAATCACACGCGAAAGCAACCGACCCACCGTGAAACTGTGATTGTTGTGCTTGAGTGTTTAATGTTCCACAGTCGATTCTGCAAGCAAGTAATAAAAAATAAATGCAAATAATAACAAAATCATATAAATGAAAGCACCGCAGAGGTTGTTAATAAATATTTAGCTATGTTGAAAGTGTAATTTTAAAAAAATATATTGAATATGCAAGCATGTGAATATCACATCATCAATCAATTTTGCTGCAAGCGACTGTGAAATTGACAGCAAGATTGATTCTCAAACAAATTTTGATAAATAACACCAAACCATTAACAAGATGACGATTAAAAATAATAAAAAAAAAATACGTTGTAGTTTGTAACTAAACACGCGAAACAAAAAAAAGCGCATGTGTATGTCATGTGTGTTTCAGTGTTGTTATGTATTTTTTGTTTTCTTTCTGCAGGCGAGCGAGGAGGCTTTCGGTAATTATCCAAATGTCAGAACCGTGTCCATCAAGAAGGTAAGCGACACAGTTCCTGCCCCCCCTGTGCATTTCGTGCATTGCGAACATGCGTTTGATTTGTTTTCTTCTCTTTTTTGTTTTTTGTTTTGTTCTGTCATTTATCCATCCAACGCGATATTAATCTCACGGCATCATATCTCACCATCGACACGAACACTGCAAACACATATATTTGATTCTATCACGGGGTGGTTATCATCATTAACACCACGGTCACGATCACGGTGTATTTTGTCCTTCTTCGTTCACATACAATTTTCTCACACTCGAGTTGAAGTTGGTTGCAAACATCACCAAAATATAAGTACAATACTACAAATGATGCGAACATTAATATAAGGTAGGAATATTTTTCTTTTGAGTATGAAGTTTTAAGGTTATACTGTATAAAGTTACGCAACCCAATTTGCAGTGTAAACTGCTTTGCTATTTCAATAAACAAGGATTAACATCAGAGGAAATCGGATTAAAACAGTTTTTTTGATGCGTTTTGTTTAAAAAACATTTGCGAATGGATTTTTTTTAGTTTTACGAGGTGCTAAATACGATTAACTTAAACATTCGCGAAAACGTTAGGTCGCGTTTTTGGTTATTTTCGGCGAGTAGGAAATCTAATGCATTTGTTGTAAACAAAAAGTTTCCCGCATAAATATTTGAGTTAGACGTTCGTAATTTTAGAACGGAATGCCAAACGACGAGGTTTGAGCACCACCCAATTGCGGTCACATACGACTCGCCGCGATATTTTGATTTTGATGATTTATAACTTTATCCGATCGGGAAGCGTTTTCGAGTGCATTACTCATAGCGCCGCATGCTGCCTACAAACATAACGCACATAAAATTTATATTGGAAAATTGCACAAGGTACGCGCGTTTGAGCTGCCCAACAAAAAACTGGAAGCCAATATTCGCAAATTGTTTTTCGACTGGTGTGTATCGACTGGTTTATCGGCGATAAATCGACAAGTATCTGCAAACATCAAACACGTACGGTGTTAATATCGTCAGGCGTTCAGTTTTAATACATTGTTATCTAATCGCGTTGGTAATTAATGAAAAAATGATAAACGAAAATACCGCGCCTGCAATGTGTGTACCTATTACTGGAAGCAATCTGTTGCAAACACGTACGTTTTGATCGTGTTATTTTTGTCAATTATTTAACCATGAAATTCGTGGGGCAATGTTATTTTGAATAAGTTATGCAACCAGACATACAACATGTGTTTCAATTCAATTGTATACCGTCCAGCGTGCATATTTAACAGTCGTAACAATATTGGGGTTTCATTGTGAATGTAAATGCCAATTATCAATTACCAATTGAGCATTGGGAATTGTTTCGAGTTCGATTACAATCGATTGTTGTCTCATTAGGCGCTACGGAAATAAAGCGCGTGACACACACATTCACAGATGAAAGGAGTAGAACAAAAAGTTATCTTGTTACACGCGTCGGCCGAAACGGAATTTAATGAAAAACGCCCGCCCGGTGAGAGAGAACCTGACGCGGGTATATGCGGCAAGGAAGCGGGGTAAGGACAGAGTAAACAGCTATTGTGCTACCGCATTCTAAACATTCAATGCATTCAATGGCTTTCGCGGACTTTGCCAAGCAGCGCGTAATTGAATACGAAGCAGCCGAGCGAGAGAAAAAAAAAACAAGTGCAATTTAAAATATTCAGTTAATATAAACATAACGAAAACTATACAGAAACAGAAACGAAACAGTCATTTCCATTGTTTTTTTTTTCGTTACTCATCGTCCACCATTTTGAATTTTGCGTGTTTAGCGCCATCTGTTCACGTTCTCTTTGTGTGTCTATCTCTGCAGGGTAACCAGAGTTTAGGGATTATGATAATTGAGGGAAAACATGCCGAAGTCGGACAAGGAATTTTCATATCGGACATACAAGAGGGCAGTTCCGCTGAAAAGGTAAATTCCTACCCCCAAAGCCAAACAAATTCATTATACGATGAAAATGAAAAGTTTGTGAACAAAGTGAAAGTTTTTATTTTTCAACCAAACGAGCAGGGAGAAAAAAGTTTGGACTGCGTGAAAAGTTGATTGGTTGTCATTACAACGCTTTTGATTAAAACAATGAATGTTTAATGAAAAGTTGAAGTAATGTGTGCGTTGTGGGAATGTGTGTGGTGTCTGTATGTGTGTGCTGGTTAAAGACTGATGGTGTTTATTGCATTTGATATTTTCTCCGTTGTATTCAAGGCTGGACTAGAGATCGGTGAGATGATCCTGGCCGTAAATAAGGACTCATTGTTGGGTTCTAATTACGACACCGTAAGTACAATTGGCCCTTCTTTTCGCGCCGTGCCATTCATTGCACACCTCAAGCTATCTATCTCTCTCTCTCTCTCTCTCTCTCTCTCTCTCTGTGTCTCTGGTTGTATTCATACTCTATTGCGCCATCAGCAACCCGTCATCAAGCACCCAAACCCACCCACTCTGCTCTCTGCCGTCTGCCGTCGTATTTTCTGTGGTCTTCGCGCGATCGGTATCGATTGCCGATGAGTACGCAGCGACAGCACGCGCTTATCATAGTCTTGCACACTTGCACGCACCGCCTGAAACTCATCAAGCACACCGAATACTAATTAGAACCCCTCCCTAGTAGCACTTGCGCTTAGCGTTTAGCAAATACCAAAACCCACAACGATAATATTATCGAATGCGATATCGGGTGGTGGTATCCATTACCTGCGGTGTTGGAAATTTGAAAGTCAATTTCGAATTGGGTCACCACAGATTTGATCAGATCAGGGATCCTTAACGTATTTTTAAGGACTTGATGTAGTTCCATTTTAGAGATTATTTTAATGAACATTTTAATAACTTTTGCAATGTAAAAAGTTTCCCTTTCAATAGATGGTTCTTTTTATGGACTTTCATGTAGGTTGTGGGTTGTTAGCTTGGTGATAATTCGAGATGTTTTACAGGCTGCCAATTTGCTGAAACGTACCGAGGGCCTCGTCAACCTCGTGGTGTCTAACCCGGGGAAGAAGAACGCCGAACAAGATGACAAATCTGCTGCCAAGGGCTTGAAGGCCGGTTCGGCCACGTCGAGACCCACTACGCCTACCCCAGGTTAGCAGAATTGTGAAATTATTTCAAATGATTGAAAATTTCAAATTCAAATGTAAATTTTAACGTTTTGCGGCTATATCCTACAGCGTAATATTTAAATATTGTACATTTGAATTTGGACTGCTTCATATTTGCATTTTCAGATGGTTTATGATTACCATAATGATACATCATTACTGAGAAGTGCATAATTCGCGTGTGCTGGCATGTTTTATGAGTTTTGAATCCTCATAACCTTGAGTGAATATGTCCATTCAGTTATTTATGATATCAACTAATATCTTATTCAAGCCATTCGATTTGTACAAATGTAAAAATAGAATTCTGCTCGTTTGAATTGATTTTAAACGAAATGCCAGGTCGGATTATTTTTTTGCTGGACATTTATCTTCATGAAACCGTGAAAATGAGATCCTCTTAATCCGCTCAGTGCGAATGTAAAAAAATACAAAAAAATGCTAAAAAAAAGTCTAAAGGATCACAGATTTCAACGCAAGACAACTTGACAGTCTGCTTAAAAATGAGAAGCTTAGAATGGTTTCAAGGGGTTTATAAGGGAAATATTAATTATAAGCGCATGTTTAATGTTGCTTTTGTTCTTGACTGGTGGTTTTACATTGGGTTGTGTCAATTTTGTAATTTTAGAACCGCCCGCTGATCCGTCGACCTGTCCAATCGCGCCTGGCCGTGACACCACCATCGAGGTGGCCTCGGATAACAAGGCGATCGGCATATGCTTCGTCGGCGGCAAGGATACACCCATCACGGTACGCTTTTAATCATCTTGGAGCAATCTCAACGATAGCTGATCGCCAATCACTTAATGAGAATTACTTTGCTTCACTTGGCTGAGCTGCAGCCACATAAACTTTGCACCTGCCAAAATGTAGCTTCCGTGAAACAAGGTGTGAGATTCTAGTTCCCAGTTTTCAAGTGTTTGTTGCTTACAGGGTGGTATTATGGTTGTGGACGTTTACCCAGGCGGTGCAGCCGAGAAGGACGGGCGGCTGCAACCGGGTGATCAAATCCTCGATGTCAACGGCACATCGCTGAAGGATGTCACACACAATTTCGCATCGCAAGCACTTCGACAGACACTGCCAAAGGCAAGTTCATTATCTCTTCGCCTTACCCAGCTCACTGTCTTATTTTCCAACGTCGCAAAACACATTTAAATCAATTAGTTGCTGATCTTCCACCTCCTACCAAACCGCTTTACCCCAATAAGACCATTATTAAGGACCCGGTTCCCAATTGACGTCAGATTGTGCTTTTAATTTCAGATGAAAATCATTGTTCATCGATCGGAGAAGGAAGAGTACGAGAACGTTGACGTGGAGTTTGTCAAGAAGCCCGGCAAAGGGTTGGGCCTCAGCATAGCCGCAAGGAAGTGCGGCAAGGGTGTTTACGTCACCGAGATCGTGAGTATCACATCATCAGTATAGGATCACGCTGAGATGAGTCGAGCCGTGGAGAAGTGCGGTCGCTCCCTCTGGCCTACTCGAAATTTGAATGTCAATGAAATACTTACTTTTGATCGTGCGTTGGCGTTGTTGGAGCTGGTGGCGGCGGCGTTGGCGATTCGAGAATGGTAGCCTGAGGGGATTAAACTTCTTTGAGGCGAAAAGATGCGGAGGGTTGATAAATGCGCCGAAGAGCCCTAGGATTGCAGCGCGCGCGCGGCCAGCGAACTTAATTAATTTGAACAGTTTTCCATCGACAAAGGAGTTCTAGCTTGGCAAAGTAAATTTGCATGCAGTTGCCTACAATAGATAAAAAGTTTCGCGCGAAGCAGACGAAATTTACATAAACATTCATCAATTTTCAATTTTGACGGGCAAGTAAATTCACACCTTTTGAAAGGCATAAAGTTAAGGTTAAGTTAAACTGTGTACTTTCGTGGTAGTCAACACCCAATAAACAATAATATAATGGTTAAATATCAAATAATTAGTCGTTAAGATATCATATTGAAGTACTAAATAGATATAATTTATTAATTTTGTACTAACAGAACGTTTTTTTTATTTTCTAGCTAAACGGAGGTTGTGCTGATATCGACGGTAAAGTGATCCGTGGAGATATTCTCGTATCCGTCAACGGCCAAAAACTGCTCGACAGCAGCGGCGAAGATGTCGGCGCCATTTTGAAAACGCTAACCGGAAAAGTCAATCTCAAGCTGCACCGATACAAGCCGACTGCAACGGCCGGACCTGCCAGCACCACGTCCACCACGAGATAATCGCCCTCGAACCCCGTCAACCTGCGACAACTTATCTATACCCAAACATCCACCACGACATACTATAAAAATCGATTCCCACTCACACCAACAATGCGAATCATAACGCGAACGAAAACGCGCGCGCGTCAAACGAAACAATCTTATAAACGGCACGTGATCAAAAACTTCATGAACATTCATGTGATTCACAATCTTTTATCTTCTAACATACACAAACAAAAGGAAAAAAATACGCGTTACGAACTTCATCATTATGAAAAGTGCGCATGTCGCTATTCAGCTGGGAAATCAAGATGGCGACTCGTGAGGATGCGAAATGAGTACGACTTCGACTAACTAGGAATACGAAACGATGATACAATTTTCATTATTGTTATATATTATATATAGAGAGAGCACGATTTTAAACATACCGTAAGTTCAACCGCGTCAGTTCGGGTTAAATGTAATTTACAGTTTATATTAGAATAAATAAAACCGTGAACAAGGGGAGCGTCAGGCATACCGAGTGATCGTGGAGCGCGTGGTTTTAATTCAATCTCTTCTTGCTAATAGAGAAATCGATTTTTATGCGCGAATATCGAGAGTCAGGACAAAGAATCGTCGGCAGATTTAATTGGGATCGTTTTACGTTTAGTATTTCGTTCGTTATCGACGGACCTCGACCGCGAGGGCGAAGGCGTTTCGTTCTTCATTGCGCATTACACGTAATTTACTAACTTATTTACTTAATTAGAGTTTAAACTTAGTATACCTGCTTATATTGTGATATAAAAGAAATGAACACTAAAAACAACACAACAAACATCAACCAATGAAATGAATCTATATAAAAACTGCTAATTAGCCACACGATGATGAGAGGAATCATTACATTATTATCATTACTGAATTGAATATACATAAATTAAATAATTATTAATTAGCGAAATTTATTCTTATTATGTCACCAAATATAAAATTATTAAAAATAAATTATGATAATTATTAGAACTTGTGTTTGGACATTCTACAGGTCTGTGTACATACATGGAAGAAACAACACACAAGCATAAGAAGTTGCATACAACAATTTGACGATCGAGTAGTTATTTTTATTGATACTCTAAAAATATAGAGTTGCTTTTCTAAGAGGACAATTAAAAATGACCGAACGACATCACCATCAATTTGATACTCCAGTCTAGCAGTAATTATGTTAGATTATGTACTAATAAAGTATAGAATTGTGCAAGCAATGTCCAGTTTAATTGTCTCCCTCATTGTCGCCCTCTTCCTCCTCGTCAAACTCGCCCTCTTCCTCAGCGGTGGCATCTTGGTACTGCTGGTATTCAGACACCAAATCATTCATGTTCGACTCCGCTTCAGTGAACTCCATCTCATCCATACCTTCGCCAGTATACCAATGTAAGAAAGCTTTACGGCGGAACATGGCAGTAAACTGCTCAGAGATGCGCTTAAACAACTCCTGAATGCAGGTAGAGTTGCCTATGAAAGTTGATGACATCTTCAACCCTCGTGGTGGAATGTCACACACTGCGGTCTTGACATTGTTTGGAATCCATTCAACAAAATACGAGCTATTCTTGTTCTGAATGTTAAGCATCTGCTCATCTACTTCCTTCATTGACATGCGTCCTCTAAAGATGGCTGCAACAGTCAGATAGCGACCATGTCGTGGATCACAAGCAGCCATCATATTCTTGGCATCAAACATTTGCAGTACAAGTTCCGGTACTGTCAAGGCTCGATATTGTTGACTGCCTCGAGAGGTCAATGGAGCAAATCCGGGCATGAAAAAGTGCAACCTCGGAAACGGCACCATGTTGACAGCCAGTTTACGCAGGTCGGAATTAAGTTGGCCGGGAAATCGCAGACAGGTTGTCACCCCTGACATGGTAGCCGAGACTAGATGATTCAAGTCTCCGTATGTGGGCGTTGTTAGTTTCAACGTGCGGAAACATATATCGTAGAGAGCTTCATTGTCGATGCAATATGTCTCGTCTGTATTCTCCACTAGCTGATGCACAGATAAGGTGGCGTTGTAGGGTTCCACTACGGTATCAGATACCTTCGGGGATGGCACCACGGAGAACGTGTTCATAATGCGATCAGGGTACTCTTCTCGGATCTTTGAAATTAGTAGGGTTCCCAGGCCAGAGCCGGTGCCCCCACCAAGGGAATGAGTCAGCTGAAAGCCTTGCATGCAGTCGCATCCTTCGGCTTCCTTACGCACCACATCCAGGACAGAGTCTACGAGTTCAGCGCCTTCGGTATAGTGGCCTTTTGCCCAGTTGTTGCCAGCGCCACTCTGGCCAAAGACGAAATTGTCTGGACGAAAGATTTGTCCGAAGGGTCCTGAGCGTACCGAGTCCATGGTGCCGGGTTCGAGGTCCACCAATACTGCTCTAGGAACATACTTTCCGCCTGTAGCTTCATTGTAGTAGACATTTATTCGCTCCAGTTGCAGGTCCGAATCGCCATGGTAGGTGCCAGTTGGGTCAATTCCGTGTTCATCTGAGATCACCTCCCAAAACTGAAGGTACACAGAACATAAGCGGAATTTAAGATGGGGAACGTGTCTTATTGCGTGTTTGTAAAAAATTTACCTTTGCGCCAATTTGATTTCCACATTGCCCTGCTTGAATGTGCACAATTTCTCTCATTTTTTCAACTTTAGATTAAAATTTTTAAGATTCGCACCAAAAAATGTGTGGCAAATGATTCGATGAACTAAACGACTCTTGTTTGATTTTTTTGTTTTCTGTAAACAACGGCCAACTGGGTTTAAAACATGTGAAATAAACTTTGAGAAAAAACAACGAATGCCAAACATTTCTATAGAAAGTTTTTCAATAAAACATTAAATTTATTTTTTGTAGGATATGATAACAGAAATTTGAAGATATTTGAATATTTGAACTATCTTAATATTTATAATATACTTTTACAACTCAATTTTAGTGATGTAATGACTGACTCGCTTTGGGTGATCATGCACATCGACCTTTTTTACTCACCCACATACTTGCAGCGCAGAAGCGCACACACACATTTGATTTACAACATCTTGTGAATCCCGCAACAACTATTGTTTTCCAAAGTAAAGTTGTGTCAGAAAATTTTTTAAACATTCAATATTTTTTATTGTTGGTGTTTTCAGTATTTCCTTATCTTTATTTGTTTCTAAGATAATTAATAATTAAGTATTACAGTAAGTTAAGGGCACACTTAAAGCCATCTACAGAATAAATCTTTAGTGCTATTAACTGACTAACTGATATTTAAGCATTATAATTAAAAGCCTCTTTCTGCCGAGGTAATGATGTTTTAAACCAATTATTACAAACATCAATTAAAATGTTTGATTTTTAAATATATTAAAAAATAGCATGTTTATATTGCTTATTATTAAATGAAACATATTTATTATACAATTATCTTAATATGTACATACTTGTAATTTGATTGACAAGTTTGGAGATACATAACACATTTGATACCTGATATCTTTTCTGAAGATAAATAATAAGACGACGTAAATCTACTTTTAGACGCACTAAAGAAGATGACAATGGTAAGGGAAAAAGGGACCTAATTTTTATGGTGATAATGCATAATATAACAATGTTACTCTTTCAGTTTCTCTTCAGTTGTCAAGCGTGCAACACGAAAGTTCCTGAGAAATTGATTACAAGAGGAACTATAGGATAACTAACCGTTTAACCTCACATAAGAACAGCTGATCTAAAACGCCGACAGCTGCAGTAAATTTAAACTTTACGCCTAAAATGAATAGCGAAGATATAAAAACAATAATTAAAACCGCAACAGAACCAGTTGTATTCAATAACTTATTAAAATGGCAACTTCTTGACTGGGACATATCAAAATGGAAAGAATGTTTAGGAAATACTAAACTTCAGTTTAGATTGGGTTCTAAAAAATATTCCAAAGTAAGAATGTGTTGTTCAATATTAAATATTTTTATTGTTTTTTTTTTACATCAAGGAACCTCAATGGGAAAAAACTTGTGAAATAGTCAAAGGCACATTTGAAGATTTTCTCAACTTTAATGAGGAAAACAAATGGTTATACTTTGACTATAAATATTTAAATCAATGGTTTATTGATAAGTTTGACCTGAGAAATGTGAGAAACTGCGTTAATTGAAAGTAGGCAAATTTTTCTATTAATAAAAAAATAATAATTTAGGAAATTAGTTGGGAAAACTATGGATATAGTGATATGAAAGCTGAAGACAGCACAATTTGGATTGGTTCTGAGGGAGCACATACTCCATGTCATGTTGATACCTATGGATTTAATTTAGTTGCTCAACTTACTGGCAGGTAATTCTTCAGACATAATAAATTTCACAATCAGTTGTGTCATTTTTCATTTTCTTTTAAAGGAAATTGTGGCTTTTGTTTCCTCCCAACACTGACCTGAAACCAACAAGAATTCCTTATGAAGAATCAACTGTATATTCGTCAATAAATTTTTATTGTCCATCAGAAACAATGAATGACTATTTATCAAGTAAGAAAAACTCTTCTTTTTGGTTAACAATAACATTAACTGATTACAGATACCAATTGTAAGAAAATCATCTTAGAACCAGGCCAAGTATTATTTGTTCCTAATGGTTGGTGGCACTATGTTGAGAATTTAGAATTATCAATTAGTATAAACACATGGATTCCAATTGATAAAGATCACAAAAAGCGAATTTTTGAAGCTATAACATTAAGTATGGTTAAATCACTGACTAGTTGTCTTAAAAATGATGAGCAGGATGTGCTAATTAATAATGCAGTAAGTATTAGGTTCAAATTTCTCTGTAAAATAATTTACAATTAATTTCAATCATTTTCAGCAAGATTTAAGGGAACTATCCACTTTTGATACTTTAAACCTAATTGAAAGCGCCATTACAAGTTGTAAGTCTGGTAAACCTGAATTAAACACTACTGACACAACTTACCCCAATAATAAAGCAACTACAATAGAACATAGTAATTATGTACAATCACTGTCTAATTTGAATGGTGAACAATTACACACGTTCCTAAAACAACAAACCAGCCGGTTCTCTGATAATGAATCAACTGAAGAAAAAAATTCTATTAAAAACAAACCAAATGTATCTCTAGTAAAAAAATATTTATCAGTACTAACAGATCCAGAGGTTATCGAGTTGATTGAGCGGAAATTAACGTGCACAAGCTAGTGCTAATGATATTTATTACAATAATAATCATTTTAACGTCATATAAAAATACACATGTTATTTTGTTAAGTTATACAAGAATAAACTTCTCATAATAAGATTGATATAGATTGCGCTCCACCACATACAGAATAGTTTGATTAAAAAGTTTACAAACACGATCTGCATTTGAAAACAACGTAATAGTTGTAATAATGTCATGCGATAATAATTAAACGCAATACGAACTTAAATTGGCAGGAATCAATGTCACAAATATATAAAAAACAACATCAAATGGATACAAATCCATTCGCAATATGTAATAATCATCCAGTACAACATCGCGACCTTCAATTTTGTACTGACTATCATCAAAGTAACAACACTATTAAAACTTAATAGAATAAATACTGATTACAACAATTATTAATTACAAAAAATAGCTATTACTGTACAATCGTTTCTTTCTGGGTAATTGAATGTGTATTGTTGTAAAAATAATAAATGGACTTCATATCTCATCCCTGATACAATTAACTAGACCAGTTCTTGGTTTGATAGACTTGTTTATGTTACATGTATATTGTATATATGTACTACAAGTGTAATTTTATATGTAGGTAATGCTATTGTATTGAAACACCATGCAACCCGTAAACGGTACTGATATCTGTGTCTACAGGGTCTAGACACCTCTAGTCTAAACATGAGCTTGTCTAGCTAGTGAATGTGGACAAAAATGTTTGTTTGCTACACATACCCTATGAGTTGGAATAAGTCAATAGGTACATTTGGTACATTGTTTGCTTTCGCCAACTAAATTCAGGTTCTCAGGTACTTGGTTACTAGTATGCAACTGCCTCATTGTTGTTCTGAACAATACAATACAAATACACACTTTGTTCAAGACCAGCAGTGATACATTCTTCAGGAATCATTGATTACATAATAAATTGAGAATGTCTGTGAGGGTGTTTTACAAATTGATAACAACATAATATTTGCACTTTTATATCATCAGATGTCTTCTGATTTTTAGTTTTTTCTTCTTATTTTCGTTTTTTGATTGATCATGGTTGAGATAAACTTTTACATAATAACACCCCGTATAACTATCTATCCGTCATGTATAAACATTAAATTCATTCGACCACGCTTCTCTATCACAATATATCTTAACTTTACATACTAGCTTCATCCGCTACAATCCCACCATAGTTTGAAAAATATTACTTTTTATTTTTAGTATTTGTTAGTTATGAAACTTAAGTACCAATACAATCTATCATAAGTTGCGTATGACCAATGCATACATTCATTCCTTGATAAGTTACGTTTTATTCAACTTGAATAATAATAGAATAAATCTTTATGCATAAAATTGAAAAAGTATGTATCACAGAGATTTATCAAGATTATTATTACTACGTTTCGCTTTGTGTACATTGGTATTTGATTGCCGAATAAGACAAGCGCGTTCGTATTGCCATCCATCGCGTTTACTGCAAAAAATCCGCCATCATTTTGTGGCTTAACACACCGCGCAAAGCTTGATGAATGAAGCTGGTAACATTAGAATCTACGCGGATCTATACATGGTCACTAACGCGTAATCTATTGCACTACGTTGCATTCTCTTGACAAAACTGCAGTTATGCATCTAACTGCCATCGCTACTGTTGCTGTTGCAATCATCCAGATCCAAATTATGATTCAGGCGACTGAAGCCGTTCTTCGGACGCCTGAAATTGCCCAACTTGCCGGTGTTCTTCGGAAGTAAACTAGGCAAATCCGTCACTTTTTCAATTGTGTAATCCGGACCAAAATCGTTTATTTGATCATCACTAGACAGGGGTATCCAAACTGTTGCGCCTAATTTCGCATGTATACCGCCAAGGATGTCCGTTTCGAGTTTATCACCCACCATTAAACATTGTCGAGGTTCTACTCCAAGGTATTCGCATGCTTCGTGAAATATCTGTTGTTGTGGTTTCTCCCATGGTAAATCTCCAGAGACGAGGATAATATCAAAGAAAGATTTTAAATTTAGACGTTCGATCTTTTCCCATTGCGCTGCTGATGGGCCATTGGTGATGAGGCCCAACATATACTGCGAGTGCAACCGGTCGAGAAGAGTAACCACGTCGGGGGTAAGCGCAAGGTAGTAATACCTTAACTGCAGCCATTTTAAATAAATTTCACCTGGAAAATAAACATTTATTTTAATCACGCTAAACCTACAAAACGAAGAAAAGCTGGTTATATCAGCAATCAACCCGTAAAAAATGGTAGGGAGGAGGACTATAACATCAGTGACTAACGCATGAGTCCCTATGTATGAATAATTACAAAATAGTGTAGTAATTAATAACAAAGAGAGCGGTGAAAAATTATTCGTAAATGACATGGCATGTCATTTAGTAATTTGACAAAATAAATTTCAAAGTGAACAAGTTCAATATCAAAATGATGATTAAGGTATTATCGTTAACCGGGGAAGAACTCGAGCTAGACGTAGAGCCGGATGATACAATTGAAAGCGTGAAATCCAAAGTAGAGGAACGCGAAGGTGAGTTATCGCATGTGACAACCCGATGTCCTTAGTCCGCACGAACGCGCACGTGCACGCTACGTTTCAGGAATTCCGGTCGACCAGCAGCGGCTGATCTATCAAGGCAAGAAAATGCGCGACGATCGAACGCTGGAAAACTACAAGGTTAATGCGGGCACGACAATGCATCTGGTCATCGCTCTCCGCGGCGGATTACGCTACGCTGAACTGGAGTCCAGTCAAGGATTCTATTCAAAGTTTATCGGAAACAAATTCACTTCATCCCGTTGAAGGCCCAAAGTAACCCATGAAAAATGGATACACGTGGATGCGGTCATGCATGTTGTAAAGCGTGCGCGACGTATATAAATTTTCGTTTACCTGCCAGCGAACTGTATTGATCTCCCAGCGCTTGCTTCCATAATAAATGCCGCCATGCATCCAGAGATTTGCTTGGGTTGTCGGGGCACTTGCGGAACGCCCGCAAATAGTTGCCGCAGGTCGCGCGCGCCGCCTCCAATGGCACGCCAAAGTTCTCGGCGAGGATCTCGCTCAGCTGAAACAAATAACGCCACGTGGAGTTGAAATTACACTCTTATACATGTAGGTATATACTTAAAGACTATTCGAGAATCGGTTAGCGGTGTGATGTTGTGCTTGGCACGAGATCAAAACTGATTTTGCGCTAGAATTTCCCGACTTTGATCGAATTCGCATTGAACGCGTGCGAATCTCGTCATTATGCTGTGTCATGAGTATTTTTAAATTATGTAGAACGCGTGCTATTAAAAAAATGTGTTATTCCTTGGGCTAGTTGTGCCAGTGTGCCAATTATCCTGTTTTAAAACGAGATAAATTGCAGGCGGTTTTCAAGTAAATATTTAAAAATCTAGGTTGAAGTTCCCATGGCCTCAAAATAAGTTTTAGTGGTCTTGGTCGGCAGTTTGGCATTTAGGTACGATCAACAATTCGGCGTGTCTCTTCAAATTTTACAGCTTGAACGTTTAACCTGCCGCAGAAGAAAGTTACTGGACCGGTTCTTACAATTGTGCGATTTGTTGTACTTGAAATTGTTCCGCGCATTGTACGATACTGGCGAGTTGTATAATCGATGGTGTTTGAGCGTCAGCACAGGACAACTGCGTCATGACGAGACCGTGTGACGAAATTTTAATGACACGGATTATCGAACAGTTTTAAAATTATCAGTTTCCCAAGCATTTATAATGCATTCAAAGTTTTGTTTCGTTATTATTTGTTGTTTCTGGCTAGTCAAATACAAATATAAAGTTGTTTTTGTATTTTCTCGCGAAATGATTAAAATGTCGAATGTCGAAGCTATAAATCACACAAGTATACTGTTTTTAGTTAGGTTTATTTTTGGAAAACCCAGTTGATTTAAGCTTTGTGAATTGCCAACTCATGAATGGCATAATCTTTTCAATTGATTGTAATCAACATAATGAGAGAAATGAGCAAAATCGTTATATTATATTTTTACTTTCCATGCGTCGCAAAAGTATTCATGCAATCAACTTATAATAAGACTCTCAATTTCAAAAGTAAATAGAATATAATGATAAGTAATAAAACAATTTTGCAAGTCATACAAATGCCATCATTCTATCATTGGACTATTATAATCTCACGGATGTTTGTTCACAATTTGAAATTTACATATGACAGTAAAATTAATTTTAGATTATTGCTCACTGTTCATGCCAATATTAAGATATACGGCCGAAACCTAATAAATTCACGCGTCGTGCAATTCGCCATTTTGGCACAAGCTCTATGATAAATTCAGCTGCAACATTTTTATTAAAATTTATAGATTTTTGCCGCCGTTCGTGCCAAAAATGTAAAAACAACATAAAAAATAAAATAAAACCAATTGAGGAAGTGACAAGCGTTTGTTTATCTGTCGTGCACTTTAATCGACATTTCATCTATTGATATTCATTGGGTCGAAAACATTTTTGATTCCGAGCCAAAGGTGCATGGTGTATGTATGTTTAGAAATTTACGGTGTGCTTCCGGAATCGTCGATCCTACGCTCGAAACAAAGCATTATGGTTCACGTCTTAGAAAATAGAAACAACGTGATGAATGTGTAACGTGCGTCATTTGAGTTTTTCTACAGTCACTCACTATTTCCGTCTAGCAACATGGCTGCCATTAAAAGTGCCCTGTGCGTGCCCTATAAAATGTTTCGGGTATTAATAAAAACAGGAAAAAACGCAAGTAAAATACAGTGTGTTTTGTATAATTCAGCATAAAAACATACATTCGCTCGCAGAAAAAAACATTTCTAATTGTGGTGTATAAAAAGCTAAACGCTAAAAGTTAACATTATTAATATTCGATTCATTACCGTATGCAATCTGCGGTTAAGTCGCGCCCGACACACTGACATTTAGTAAACGTGTGCGGTGGCGAAAAGCGCATTATTAAATACAATTAACTTTAACGACGCTGGCGCAACTAGTCCCCGAAGAGTTTTTTGCCCAGCTCCATGAGCCGATGGTTTCGGCACGCTTTGAGCGCGTCAGCCTTTTTGAGCACCTCGGCAACGTTCTCGTTGGCGTCGGTGAGGCGGCAGAGGAAGTCCTCGTACGCCGACTTCACATTCGGCGGAAGTTGGCCGATCTTGACTTTTTTCAACGCTTCAATGATGCCCTCGGCCCAGCCGCTTTCAATGGCGAATTCGGAAATCCATGGAACTGCAGCAAGCACTGAACTCATGGTCTGCATTCCAAGGAACCATAATTCAGTTATCTCCTGCCAAGCCTCCTTGTAGTTCATTGCTACAACGAGACCAGTATCACTAGACTCGTCGACTACATATGCATCCCAAAGCCATCTTATTGTCGCTTGGATATACCGGCAGATGGAGAAATCGTTCTTTTTGATTTTTTTATTCTGCTGCTTCATGAGTAAAAGACCAAGAATTGCAAGGTTTCCATGGAGGGGTAGATTTTCATGTATATCCTTTAATTCTGGGAGATTCTCAAATATAAACTTCATTAGGTTATTAAAGACTTCGCTCTCTTCAATATACTTGGGTTCCAAAACGGTGATGTTCATCAAAATATTGCACATGCTGATCATGGCCGTACGAGAGTCCTGCATATCCTCCAACATTTCAGGGGTGAAAGTAATGGTCGGATTAGCAAGAACCTTCAAGCGCTCGCTTCGTGGTACAGGCGGGCGCTTATAATGAACAATCGACCAATGATATTCGAAGCAGTCATAGAGAACTTTATCCTGTCCCGCTTTGAGCATAATCTTCCTAGCGTCATCTTCAACAGTCAAATGGCACATCGCAGGAAGTAAAATCCTCAGGACATCGAAACGACTAAGAGGATCATCGCCTTCAATAGGTGTTCCCGCTTTCTCTGCAAGTCTACGTGCTTTGCATGCTCGGAAAGTCTCATTGGCAAGACCCAGTATATAAGGCAAAAGTTGGTAGACCTGTGGGCGCATTGCGGAAGTTTCTTGAGCTAACCAAGCCGCAAGAACTCTCACTGTACCGCAGATAAACAACTTTTGATTGGGTTCCAAATTGTTGCTGTTCTTGTCATTGGACACCTTTGTGAGGAAACTGATAACGGCCGAAAATGCACCTTTTAAACCAGTATAAAGAGTTTGCTTTTCTTTCTGTTCCAAATCCAGTTGGTCTGTGGCAATGTAATTCATCAAAATCTCCAACATTAGGAAGCATCCAGTGATGAGATTCGCTTGGGCATAGGCCTGATTTAACATTTTACCCTCGAGTTGCATTCTGACTTCTACAGCTGATAATTGTACCAAAAGTAATAAAAATTGTTTACCCTTTTCTTCATCCGTTAATGTCCATTCAGCTCCAAGCAGGTCCAACATGGTGGACGCAAGGATCAAAGCAGGATCTCTTTGTTTCTTACCAATTTTACTAGTGAGAATATCAAAGAGTCCTTTGTAAACACTGGTCGGCCATGATTCCGCACCAGCCGATTCGGCTATACCCTTCCTGTGACAGTTATAGAGCAATGCATTCAAGATGGCGCACAGCTCAAATTTCCGCTCATCTTGATCAGTCTCAAAATCAAGAGCAATCTTGTTGATGATAGTGTGGAACCCTTTTGGGTTAGCTTTGTCCCAGGATGCAGATCCGAATTTGCTCACCAGGACCACCAAAATATTCAGAGCTTCATCTGTCTGGAAACTCTGCTGTGAGTAAATTTCAGTCATTTTACCAATGGCGCCGATATCAAACAGGGCCTTCTGCCCAGCCTCAAAAGACGCGATACTCTTTAAACATCCGTAGGCTTCACCAATAATGATCAGACTGTCGTCATAGTCTTCAGTATCTGCTTGTTGCACGATGTCGAGAAAGACCGGAATGTTTGCCAACATATCCGGATGGGTGGCTAGCTCCGGCTCGTTGCAGAAGCACGTGAGGATGGAAAGAGCAACCGATTTGTAGATCGTAGGCGGGCAATCGATCGGCACATCTCCGGTAAGAAGCAATCGTTTCAAGAACTGGAAACCGATTGCTTCAAAGATGGCCTTCTTGGCGGGGGTAGTACAATCCTTGCCCTTTACCAATTTGGTCACCATGAACAACGCAGCAAACTTTTCTGTATCGCTGGTTGCATTTTGTAAAATGGCGATGCACTTTTTCACCGCGTCCGATATCTGAGCCATGATCACTACTACTTCACGACGCGCCGGCACGGGGATGAATACTGAAGCTGCGTACGGAGATGTGGCAGAGTTTCTTAGCGACGCCGCCGCCGTCGCGTGTTATTTTTAGCGTATTCACACTGCGCGTCTTCCAAAATAGGTAAAAAGATTTTTGGATCGGTTTCATACGCGCGCGGCGAGTTTAAATTTAGAAACAAGTCACTGACTTACCGCGCGCACTCTATACACTTGCGCACTAACTGACACACATATACTGGTTTCTCACTAGTGAGAGAAGAAGATTCGATTGAGATCCACGCGTGTTAGCATCTGAATCAACAGGATTTATTGCAAGAAATACACATCGTCATGGAAATAAACCAGTGTTTGGGTGCACATGCTGTGTTGACAGTGTCTTGCATGTTATTAGTGCCAGATGCATACGGTGTTTTTCACGCGTTTTGTGTGCGGATCTACGTTGGCGGACGTTTACGGACGCGAATTGTAGGTTATGAGCGTGCGCCTCGCGATCCTCGTGTCAGCTGATTCGTTGCGCAGGTCCGTAATGTGTGCGCTATGCGTGGTCGCAATTCGCGAGTGGAAAATTTTCAGAAGTACCGTTCTGACGCATCTCAATTTGTCATGACAACCTAGATTGACACCTGCAGGAGGCGGTGTATGACAATCATTTGGGGTTGTGGCACTTGTATTGTTAGTGACAAAAGAGTGTATTTACCTTATTACAAGCCAACTTGTCGGCCTTTCTCGTCTGAATCAACGTGTTGTCGAGATCGAGGAAGATCACCGAAATTCCAGCATTGCCGCTTAATCTAGATACCATATTCTCGGAGCTAAGTGATGCGAGCAGGGGCGGCAGCGGGCGGGCACAGAATCGACGCGCGGAAACTAAAAATAACGCACCGCCGACTAAGGAGGAGCGCAACGACGTGGTGGTTCGTGTGGTGTTCGATGGTGCGCGCGGTGGCGGTGGTGATGGTTGTTGCGTGCGGGACGGATTCGCTCGGTTCTGCTTTTGCGCTCCGACACCAGCGGTAGACTGCTCGTGTTCGTGCCGTTCATTCAGTCGGTCGGTGTGCGAGACGCTCGGCCGCCGCGGGGGGAAAGGCGGGAGGTGCGGGAGAGAGCGGCGCGTGCCCAGCTACCGACGACCTCCTCCTGACGTCGGTGGCGTCGGCAGTGTGCCTCATTCCGACTCGCACTTGGCACCGAGCTGTGGGTGCCGTAATGAGCAGTGTGTGTTCCTGGGGTTTTATCAACCACACACGCACGCTTTGTACTAAGGTCACGTTCAGTGCCAGTCTGGTGAACACGTTGGTCAGGATTTGAACCATTCGGGGTTCTTTGCTGCAGCTGATGCCCTGTGGTCATGCACGTGCTATCAATTCTCCTTACTCTACTCTATTCCAAATCGATATCTTTATATCTTACAATGTCAAGCGTGGAACGCAGGTCATCAAAGTCCAACAGCATTATAATGACCTTTAATTTTTACCTACTGCATATTGATAAACGTGAAACGTCACACGAATTTGTTTTGATTGTGTGGAATTTAATCAATGGCAATAAAGTCGAAATCATTAACCTCAATTGATGTGCAGTTTGGTACGTGATAGGATTCGCCAAAAATTAATGCTCGGAGCTCATGCGCTTAATTGAATATTTGCTCGTGAACGAGAAAGGAGGAAATATTGATAGCACGTGACATGCACACCTAATGCGATTTCCTCAGTCGCAGCGTAGGTGTGTAAACATCTTTATGTAGATTTACTAGATATTGACGCCATGGGCGTGCTATGAAAATGCGACGTGCGATGAGTTTTATTTCGCGCCACAAAATGCGCTGTAGGTTAACTGCGCGTGTCGCAATTAACAATCCGATGCGGGCTCGGTCGATAATACAAGCATAAATTTTATAAGTTGACAACAGCGTAGTATACTAAAAACAATCAAGGCATCTTAAATATTTATGTTTGCGACAACATCATGGCTTAAACTAATAAACAAACGTTGTTTATCTTGTCTGATAGTCGATTAAAATTAAACATTCTGCGTAGTTTTGTCTTTGTAGTTTGGAAACTTAATTAATTCGGAAGTTTGTGAGAGGACATCTTGAACTTTGGATCAATTGGAATTGTAACTTGGATTAAAACTAGATTATTGGATGTAAACTTTAAGAGAATTTATTGTTTTATTTGGTTATCAGCAGAAATGTACCAACTATGAGTTTGGCCAACTAGCCTAATACTAGAGCTGGCTTGATATTCATTTTTGAATTTAATCTATCTATATATATAAAAATGAAACCCGCTTCGCCTGGTCAAGCCATCACGTGAAAACGGCTAGACCAATTTGGCTGATTTTTTTTTGGCAGTTTTCTAATACTCTGTAGAAGGTTCTTACGGAAAAAAATATTAGGAAAATGTCTCGGACAGATTGAAAAAAAATAAAACCGTCTCCCGTTGTCACGCCATCTATGTGTGAGATTTCAGAAGGCATATATAAACTTCACATGATTTATATAGTAATCTGTGGTAATTTGTGACATACCCGCCGCGCCAACAATAAGGTTATTAAAGTTTTTGACACACAGGTTTTTGTTTGGAAAAGGAAAGTCGCTTTCTCTGTCTGTCCCTTTGTATGCTTAAATCATTGAAACTACGCAACAGATTTTGATGCGGTTTTTTACTTCCGTGCGAAGCCGGGGCGGGTCGCTAGCGATGTGACTGGCAGAGAATGCCTTACGGCATTAAGTCCTCCTTTTGTACAATATTATTTTTTTGTGTAATAAAGTTTAAATAAATAAAAAATAAATAAGGCGGTACGAAGTTCGCCAGGTCAGCTAGTATTTTATAGTATTGTGATTATAAACATGTGGAGAAATGCTAAAAATGCACTTTAGCGCCATCTAGACTTTAGTTATTTTGCTATTACAACGAAATAATCTCTATACCTACTAATTTTCATCTTTCATTTTACACCCTTAAATCCTAATTTTTGATGTTTTAATAGTTATTCTGCTATTCGAGGCTGAGACAAATTCCACAAATCATATTTCATCAAAATCTGTCCTGCCGTTCTTAAGTTATTAATGCTGTAACTAACTCAACTCGGTTTAATTTTGCGTTGTAAACTTAGGTGCATTGTTTTTAAGTATGTTGAAGGATTTGTGAAATTTGTATACTTACGAACACTATTTATAATAATATCTATCAATAATATAATGATGAATCGCAAAATCTGTTGGTAAGCGCATAACTCAACAACGCCTACACCAATTGGGCCAATTCTTGTTTTGAAAATGTTCGTTAAAGTTCAAGGATGGTTTTTACGGCGAGAGTAATTCGAATAATTGTCGGGAAAACCCTTGAGACAGCCCTTTTCTATAGGCGCGCTGAAGTGCATTATTAGCAATTCTTTATATAATTAATTTCTTTAAAATAAAAGTGCGGTCCTTATTGATAGAATTGACACATACTATGTCTAGAACAAGAGAGTAAAAACGAATTACATTTTTTATTAAACACTACCGGGACGAAATCGCGGGCAAAAGCTAGTTTTATATAAATAAAATAATTCTATAATAAAGGCTTGCCTTGCCATCATTCGGTACATATTTTTTTAGTGAAAACTATGAAAACATATTTAAGGTTATGTTAGGTTATGGTATCTAATTAATTTATATTTGTAAGAAAACTAGGTAGTCAGGTCATGTCACAACTTTGGTACTAAACATTTTGATTATTCCTCGGAGATTAATCAATCAAAACACATTATTTAAAGGCCAGCAAAGGCAAGTTCAAGTTGTGGCAAGCGTGCGAGGTGGTGGTGCTGTGCCAAGTTTCAATCTCAATTTTTCATCGTCATTACTGACTTGAGGACGACGCCATTTGAAAAATAAATTAACTTCATCATCTTTATTGCGCGTAAAAACGTCGTAAATTTCTTGTTTCTGCAGGTTTTCGTTTTATTAGTTTAACTTGGGTTGCTATGATTTATAGAAACAATATCGGTGGTGATTCAAATGATTACAAAGTGTATGCGAATGAAGTCATAATAATAATAATCATAAACCGAAAAGTACACAAAGAACGCGCTGATATAACAATAACTAGTGATGACTGATGAGAATCCCGGAATGATGCGCAATTGAAAATTTTTCCGTTGTGTACTCGGCACACTCGGTTACTGTGTACACAAAGAATTTGCTTGCTTCCGACGAATGCAGCGGCACAAATGTAATTGATTTTTTCGACGCGCGTTGCGTTTACTCGCGTGATTCTGATTAGATCCATGAATCGACAGAGTATGTGTGCGTGTGTGTGCGCGCCCTCCTTAGTTAGTCGCAGCGAGGGGGCGCACACCACCGATCGGGAAGAAGCGGCAACCACCGCCACCGCCGACGTAAAAGGGGAGGCGCGCGTCGACTGCGCGCCTCGCGACATCACCGGTGGTGGCGGCACGCTCAGTGCTTGCGGTGCTCTCCATGGCGACTACACCCGCCCGCCACGCCGCTGCCGCCGCCGTCGTTGTTCCAGTGACGCATCCGATGGGCACGCCGATGGCGTGAGAATATGGAGCCGGGAGCGACCGCTGCGTCAGAGTGATAACATTTTTTTACTACTACCACCCGTTGCATAGACTGCGTCGTCGTCGTTGTCGTCGACGAGTTCGGAAGTGAGGCGCGACGTAAGTTCACATTCGCCCACTTTCGATTGTTGTGTGGTGTGTGTTTTCTCTGTGTATCGAATTGTCGAAGTTGGACAGAGTTGTGGGTTTTGTGGGTTATGCGGGGTTTGGTTTTGTGTTCGTTTACATGTCTCCACATCATTTATACGTTTGCTTTGCGCTCGGTCCGATCGGTAAACACGAACGTGAAAGGTACATAACCTGAAAACTATAAGGAGAAAAAAAAAACACCCACACACACGCACAGATACACCTCGATTTGTTTTATATCGATTGCAGTTTAAGTTGATTTTGTCGTGACCACTTTTCTTTTATATAACAATATATATATTTTTTCCGTTAATTTGGTCGAAATTAGTTTTTTGACCTTTTGATCCTATGGGGTGTTTATTCCAAAACAATGTTTGTCCTGCCGGGTCAAAAATTAGAACGTTCCTGAATTATTAAGTGAGTTTTTGGCACAAAGCATTGCTTTTTCGAAACGACCCCGAAACGAAAAGCGTCGCAACTCGAAACTCGTGCAGTCGAGCGCGAAACGGTTCAATCGCTTGAATACCAAATGACGGAAAAACAAGCTCAACCTCCAACTTTGCAACTTGCTGCGGAAGCATCTCTCTTACGAGACGCAACTTTTCTTTCGAGTGCAAATCCGCGAAAGCAATCAATCATTGGCACGTTCCGCAAATCTTGCGAAATCACTCAAAATCACTGCAATTCTACTCTACTTCTGATTGGATTAATCAATCAAGAAAAACACTGGAATGTTATGATGAAAGTTTTGATCGGTTTCTTAATTAAGTGCCGACATTTATAACCTCCTTCAAAAACGTCTCTATTTGTATGCACGTAGAAAAATAATTCGTGAAACTTTCGGAATGTCGACATTTTGGCACGTTTCCTGCTGAATAGCTTCCTGATGGAAGCAGTTTAAAATAATTATTACAACTTTTCGTGCCCGCCGAACGGATGAAAGGATTTGCTCTTTGAATTTATTCGTCGACATCTATTGAAACTTTGTGCGGAATTTTTCCTACTAAAGATAACCCTGATCCGTAGTCTGCGCTTTTCATGCTTGTACTTTAGACCTCTAGACCTCGGAAGCGTTTTTGCGTGCCAAGAGATTTTAGGGTAATCTTTATAGCCGAGAAAAACACATTAATATCGCAATATCTAGGTAAAAATGGTTAATAAAAATATGTATTAAAAAATACTGAGGATATTAATTTTAACATATTTTAATCCATAAAATGTATTTATTGAAGCTCTCTGGTTATTTTAACCAATTAATCATTGGGTAGCATGTCATATATTTCGTGTTTTTCGTTTTTGGGGTGCGTTTGAATCAATATTTCGTGAAATATTGTATTTTTAATTAAATTATTTTTATTATCTACTCTTAAGGGTGGAAACGTTAACATTTTAGTACGAAATTGCAACATTTGATTCGGCAATAAACTACAGACTTTGAGGAGTCTTACTTTGAAAGGGAGTGAAGGAAAATAACTTTCTGGAGCGGAGGATATATATATTTCATCTTTCTTTTTTTACACGGGTGGTTTATTTTTAGCTCTGAGAGTTTTTTCGTTTTGCGTGCCAAGAGATGAAAGAAGTTGAAGAAAAAACATTAATAATAGCATATTGCGTTTTTCTGTTTGAAAGAACATAGGAATCAAAAAATATTTCCGTGTACATAACTCAATTCGAGAAAATTTAATAGCACGCTATAAAATGTAATTTTTAATGTAAATTTCTTATTTTTTTATATTTTATTATCCATAATGCATTTTTTGTTGACAACTCAATTGTTATTTTAAATTTTGAACAAAATGAACAATGAACCATTATTTTGAAGTCCCTAAAGCGGTTTTCATCGCTTTAGTAATCCACTGGGAAAGTCATCAATCATAATATCAAAAGTCCGCCGCAAAAATTCATAAAACCAAAAAATTCTGCCGGCTAGCATTTTTCACAAGTTCAATTAAGTTTAAATTAAGCGCAAACGTGACGAGCATATTCTCATATCATATAACGCAAGTTGTACGTTTTTTAATCACTTACAGTCTTAACTTTAACGACAACATAAAAATAGAACAGCTTGCAAGTGAAAAACAAAAATAAAAAAGAAACAAATCAATTCTCGACAATTCGCACAAATTACAAGCCATTACCATTAATATTTACTTCTTTACGTACTTATATTGCTATAGTGATGGTTTTATTTTGCTTGGTTCGGTCTTGATGTTCTGACAGTAATAAAAATCAACAGGAACGTGAGACGCTCACTTAGCACGCGCCGAGTGAAAAAGCAAACCTCGTTAAAGCAACTATTATGAGTCGCTACTCGAGCGCGAGCGCGCACTCGAAGTGGATAATCATATCAGCTCGAATTACGAAAAGGAAAGTTACTCCTCCGTCTAATTACCAAAAGCGTGTTCGAGAAACAAAGAAATGTTTCGCGAACGCGCGTGCCGCGAAAAGAGAAACGTTTATTTGTTGTCGAACGACCTGGGCGCCTTCAGAAGAGGCCACCTGCTCTTGGCAGGCACTTAATTTGGCTGGAAATTGACCATTTGCCAAACCCTTTGTAACCAATTACGTGTCGCTGTGCAAAGGGAAACGCAAAAATAATAAAGGACACCGAAGGACGAAAAGAATTTCCCTGCCATTGTTCCCTTCCTAGTTCCTACGTTGTTATTTTATGATAATTTATTTAAATTGCCGTTGTAAATCATTTTTTATGTTTGGTTTATTGACAGTAACGCGTTCGAAAAGTGCTTGTTATGTTATTTTTGTTCGGTATTTGGTTGTGTTTTGGGGATATGTCTTTATGTGAATTGTTGCATCATCGCAATGTTGTCCTGGTCGTGTTTTTGATGACTTAACCTCTTTGAAGATCTTCTTTTGACGAATGTAAACATAGGCAACTTACAATGCGTCTCATAAATATATTCGTTTCATTGTCATTGTTGGTTACCTATTGTGAAATGATTCAAGATGGATATTGCGACACAAATGATTGAAAGATGGTTTTCAGAAGGTTGAGGGGTGGTAATAGTCTCGATGGGCTTTGTAACTGAGGTGTACACTTTTTCTGTGTTCGCAGTTGGTTGTATGTGCGCGGACTTAATGCTAAAGTAAAAGAATGAATGAGCTAATAAAGACGCAAGATGGTACTGAGTACGGAATGGACGCAAGTTGAGGTGATTGATTTGGTGAATGATGGGACGGGTATAGGTTTTGGGATCGTTGGTGGCCGTAGCACTGGCGTGGTGATCAAGTCGATCCTACCCGGCGGCATCGCCGATAAGGATGGTCGATTGCAGAGCGGCGATCATATAATCCAAATTGGCGATGTCAACCTACGTGGGTTCTCCGCCGATCAGGTGGCATCGGTGCTGCGGCAGGCGGGGATGCAGGTGCGCATGGTGGTGGCACGGCCCGTCGAGTCGACATGCTACCCGAATCAGCACAGCGCGGCGCCCATTGTGCCCACCAAGGTGCTCAACGATCCCGAGGAGATGGAGCGCCTGCTGGCCGCCAACGGGTACGAAGAATACGCGTACAATCAGGCGGCCTTTGAATCACCCGGCGACTATAATGGTGAATCGTCTGCAACGGGCACGACGGTGGAGATTGTCGAACCGGCGACCACCTCGAATCAAGACCCGGGTGTTTGTTCTGTAGTGACCTCCAACTACGACATCAGCTCGGTGAATGTGATAAATGTAGATGTAAATAACTTAGCTGTAAATGGTAACTGCGACTCTCCCGAAGGTGGGAAGATTATCTTGACCCCGGTGGATATTGAGTACACTTCTCTACCGGAAACTGAAAGAATAACCGTTTGTATTAATAAGAATGAGTATGGTATGGGCATTACCATAGCTGGATATGTCTGTGAGCGGGAGGACCTTAGTGGGATCTTTGTCAAGAGCATCAGTGAAGGCAGCGAGGCACACAAGTGCGGCTTAATTTGCATCAATGATCGGATAATTGAGGTGAACGGCGAGAGCCTTCAGGAATGCAGCAACTATGAAGCTGTTGAGAAATTAAAACAAACCGATACTGAGGTAAACCTCACCATTGAAAGGTATCTCCGAGGTCCCAAATACGAGCACCTGCAGGAGGCTCTTGCTAGTACTGAAGCGAAGGACCTAAGTCCTCCGTCGCCATCAGTCACTACCCTAAGTTGGATCCCAATAGATACAGAAGTAAGTCAGTTGTCACACACACCGCACATTTCCGCACAGATCAAATCCAATGTTGCTATCTTGCTCTGTTTCATCATTGCATCACCACCATCTACATCACACCGACACCGTGTCACCATCATCCACATTTTTCTCATGCTCATTTGAATGTTTGTTGCTGCCGTTCATGTGCATGCTATATCTCTCCATGTGTGAGTGTGTTTGTGTGTGTTTGATGATGTAATATGTAATAATGTCGGTTAGTAAGTCACGTGATGAACTGAACTAGTAACCTGCGTGAAGTAGTGCGTGACGCCTTTGCAAACTGTTTACTCGCCACTTTGCCATAACGACATTTTACTTATATTAGCTCTCTTTTTACATGTTTCTGTCCGCTGTATGTTTGCGTTTGTTTTTCTCGCCTCCAAAGTTGGTTGCTTTGCAGGCGGCGATAATAGAGCCCGAGGGCGAGTCGGTGACTACGATCAACAGCGAGATCTACGAGTGTCCCGAGCGTGAGATCTTTGTGGATGATAATTTCGACGCACAGCCGACGGAGGAGTGCGAGACGTCCATCAAGCGGAAGTGGAGTCTCATCGTCGGCGACGAGTCGGAGATTGTGGTGGCGCACCTGACGAAGTTGACTGGCTTGGGGATCAGCCTGGAGGGCACCGTCGACGTTGAGGCTGGAGTGGAAGTGCGTCCGCATCATTACATCCGGTCGATTTTGCCCGAAGGGCCAGTCGGGCAAAACGGAAAGTTGTGTTCCGGTGACGAGCTGTTGGAAGTCAACGGGCAGAAACTGTTAGGGATCAAGCATGTGGAGGTGGTGAAGATTCTAAGGGACCTTCCGAATGCCGTGAGGCTAGTGTGCGCAAGAAAGTCGGAGGAGAATCGCGTGATTAACACGTCGCAGGATCGCGAAGCGTTCGATTCGAGGAACATCCTTGGCGGTAGCCTGAAAAACCTCCTCCCACAGCCGGAACCGCGCATTGTCAAAGCCCTTAGCGATACGTCTATCCACACGTCGAGCACGGCTACGATAACAGACGATAACAGCCTGCAGAAAGCGAAATCCAGGTCGTTAGAGAACACCAACCTCGCAATGTGGGGTGAGACGGTGGAATATATTGAGCTGAAGAAGACGGATCGCGGCCTTGGATTCTCCATCTTGGATTATCAAGACCCGGTCGATCTACAGGCTACCGTGATTGTTATACGAAGTTTGGTGCCCAACGGGGCGGCAGAAACGGACGGGCGGTTGAAACCCGGTGATCGCTTGATATCAGTGAATGACAAGTGCATCAAGAATGCGACACTTGATCAGGCCGTGCAGGCACTCAAAGGGACACTTCCGGGCACAGTGCGCATTGGCGTTTGTAAACCGCTTCCTATTTCCACAGCTAGCAATAGTCACGATTCTCCTACGATCGAATCATAATACGAAATAATGTAAGTAACTACGCAACCATCATCTAGCTATTTACTTACATCAGAGATCAACACGTTATACCTACTTACTATACTAGTAATCGTACTAATCGCCTAAAGTTCGTAGGTTGAGGTACAAATTGACCAAAAAAAGAGGAAAAATATAGCGAATATTATAACATAGGTACCTATATATTTCTATTGTGAGAAAAACAAATCGCCGGGAGTCCTGAGCCGTTTCCTTCGAAATCGCAGAGCTACAGACACATTTTAAAATCAACATAACCATAACCTAATTTTAGTGTCTGTTGTTTTAAACGGGCTGGTACGATATTTAGATGTAGACTTTTGCCAAAATCAGAATCAGATCTTTATTAATACACAATTAACCTGTAAACAAAATATAAACATAACTTATTTGTCGGTGGTTAAAAATGGACCAAAATAGTCTTTATTTAATGCTTTCTTCTATTTGGTCACAAATAATACAAATATAACCACAAAAATCTGTTAGCATAGGCAACTAAATTCACACGCGATCGATGCGAAACCAAATTTATAAGATGTTCCATCAAAATTGTTATGAATGTTGTTAGCGTTTATAATTTTCTACTTTTATCCACATCACTGCGCTCGATTGGGTTCATCCGTAGTTGAAAAAATTGTTGAATACAATTTTGATGACGATAATAATATTCTAACCTAGTATATTTATAGAATTATATTTGTATAGGATATTGAGAAGCGAAGGAAGCGATTTGGAGGATGAGGAAAGATGTCAATATGATAGCTTCGATTACTCTGGATTACTCCACAGATTTGTACATTTCATAGCGAGTACCTCTATTGATAACGTTAAGCTTTCGGCAGTTCATCAAGAAATGATTAGGCCTTAATTAATTACCTACAATTACCTTCGTGTACAACTGTCGATCGATTTTCGAATGCTTGTTTTGTTCAACACCAATCAAATCTACACGTACCTATTACCAAACTTTAATCAGATTAATCTCGTAATATCGACGCAATTATCAAAACTCTAGCGAAATATTTAGCAGAATATCAATAACAACAACAAATAACAAATTATTCTTAACAAATGTGTTCGAATGTGTTGTATTTCATTTGTAAATTATTTACGTATTACACTAGGGTAACATTTGTACATGTGTTAGTGTTTGTTAGCTTTAGTTGCGTTACTAGTGATCAATTGAATTGTAATTTGTAATGCATTTACGCAAATGAGCCAGTAAGCAGCGTTAATTTACTTACTTATCGGTGAAAATGCGATGGCACATACCTACACACTCAACACACACACGATAAACAATCAGCGGGCTTTATTACGAACGTAACGAACAAACTTAAAGTCTAAACGTAACTTACTGTAAAGAAAATGATGTAAGAATCACAACAATGAAGTAATTAATATTATTACATATTGAGGATTATATCGAATGAGATTTAATTCACTAGTACAACTCGTAATAACTATAAAACATGTTATAACAATGAGAAAAAAAGAATTTTAAATAAATTACATAAAAAAATATCAAGATTTCTATTTGTGGCGAGTTCTTTGTTTGTTTGGTTGCCTATTTTGAATTTAAATATTAATAAATTATTATTTCACCTCCTAAAATACCTAAAAATTAAATAAAATTTAATTCTTTTTGTAAGTTTTCAATAAGTTAGTTAAGTTAAGTTTCATGTATGTGTGTGTGTGACGGATTGAAGTTGACAGCAAAAGAAAATTTAAAAAGTCCAGCGCTGTATGGCGTCACTCTGGTGCGACGGCCGCTCATTTCCTCTTGTGGAAGTAGAAATTGGTGCAACAGCACGCCGTGATGAGTTCATGCTCCTTGCAGGAGTTGGCGTGCAGGAAATTGCAGTCAGCGTATTGACATTCGTAGGGGAGGCGATCTGGAAGAGTAATTAAATTTAATCAATTAATCACCATTGACTAGTATCGCAGTATTGGGAGCTCTGCGAGTACATCAGTGAGTTAGTACTAATTTATTTTATATTCACGATATGCGAAAACTAGAACTTGTGGAAGCACTCGAGTTATAGTAGTGAATAATAAAGTTATCTTTTGTTTTAAATACATTCGATTTAGAACAGTGAGTTAACTAAACTATATGCAACCAAGTATACAATTTACATTTTCAACTAACCCACATAGATTGAAAATTCTGTTTTAGTTTTGCAGGTTTTAAGTTGAATGTAGTTTACCGTAAGGATTAGTCGGTTTGTAGCAGCAGCAAGAATCGTGAAATAATTTGTCGCTGCAGTATGAATACACGGAGGAGTCGCACAAAGGACACTTGCGGCGATTGTCGTGCAAGTTTCCACCAATTCCGGACGGATAGAATGAATCCGGATACCGGTTTATACCATTGTTGTAAATAACTAAACATACAACAAATATTATTTTAGCTATTTGCACGAAAACTGTGCGTAATACTCACCAGTTGATTGAACATTCACGAAATAAATCATCAACACACAAATCGCGCTTGCAAATTTAATCATTTTTGTAATAGATTTAAATTAAACCGGAAACACACAACACCGGAGTCAATTTCCGTGGATTTCAAGACGCGTCGTGATTAAACGAAGCGAATATATCCTGAGTTTAGTAATCTCAACTCTGGAGTGTTGAGCAAGTAAGTATTCCAAGTGCGACGCGTCGAACGAATGGTGAATCGATACCGAATTACGGAATCTTTAAAGATTCGTGCACCGACTTCGATCCTAACTGTAAATTTCGATTTGTTTTAAGTAGGTGTAGAGTACAGTATCTCCGGTGTCAGCCAATACTCAAGCCGCAATATATTTAAATACATTCGGAACATTCGCAAGAGATTTGCTACTGCTAGCACCTAGAATAATGTTATTAACTTTCTTTAAGAAAAAGTCGACCTATTTATTATTTTGCTTCTCTCAACTTAATCATAGCTGATGCGTGAAAGGGGGATTTTAATAACTAATTAAACTTACGGATTAATTTGCAATTTGCACTAATCGCAGGCGTTTAATTCAAGTTTAGTGAGTGTTAAATGATCACTTGAATAAATTCATCATGACCTGACCTGAGTGCTATGTGTAATTGGTGTGTGGATTGAAGTAAAAACTAAAAATTAAGTCAAGAAGAAAAAATAGGTCAGGCATTTGAATATTTGCGATCGCGTGAGTTCGGCGTTTACAAAATAATTGCGTAATTACCGAATTTTAATTGCTCTTTAACAGCAAGAGAATAGAAAAACAAAAATTTAGATTTGATGACATCAGAACAATTAAACTGTTAACTGTGAATTCCTAAATTTGTACCATGTGTGATTAGTTTCCACATGTTAATTACATGTTTTACACTGTGCGATCAAAGGTTTTAATTTTATTCAATCCTGAAGGGACGTACAACACTGCGCAGCACAAGTTTGGTGTGTTTTTGTGTTTGAGTTGATAATTACCAAGTCAGGTCAGCTCGAAAATTCATTTTTTGATGTGGGTTGACACGTTTCATAATTTTTGATTAGAATTTATCTTCGGGCTTAAATTAAGAATATAGTAACATACAAAACGCGTGTAGGTTAAATATTTAATTCGGTACTGTCAAAATTGGGGAACATAACCTCACATAGAAAGTCTGAGCGAAAAACGAAAAGTCAAACTTTGTTTTGAACTAAAAATAAACCGCAATATTTTGGCTTTAGATAAAAATTGATTGTGAAACGGGAAATGTACAATGATGAAATGAAAAAGACGATTCCATCCGATTTCATACATCTCTCGAGGAGTTATAACGAAAAATATCGCCATTAAAATCCACTCAGTTTCCTCTCGTCTCCCGATGAAGGCGAATCGACATCCCATGTAAGGACTAGAAAAAGATCTCAAATGTGTTTCCAATACTCCAGCTTTACCAGCTGGCTCCCTCTGACTTCTTGCAACGCTTCCTTATTTTTTGCACTACTTTCGGTTTACGTTTCTCTTCTTACCCGCCCTCGGACTCCTATGAGTGCCATGTTTTCTACTACACAACTACGGCACGACTATGGCACGGCACAGAGTCGGGTTATGGAGGAGCGGAAGCGACCTCCTGCAATATACACACGGAGTAGTCGAGCAGGACAAGCACAAAACGCTGGAAATGCGAGAGACAGCAGTGGCAGGAAACTCCACGCCCGTAAAAAGCTGCAAAAACGTCCAATAAAAATGATTTAGTGCGCTTGGAACTGGAAAGTTTGAAATATGTAACAATATATTTTTCCAGCTTTAACAAAAATACGCGTTTACATTTATAATACAAATACGCAATGCATAATACAATATGTTATATACTTTTTAGCAAATTTTTTGAAAATATTACTAAAATTATAACTAAAGTTCAAATACTTTGCAAGATTTATTGCAAAATATAAATAGCGACTAATTATATTTTTTAAATATAATTTACACAGCTTGGTGGAAGGCAGCGATTGCAAAGACACTAATTATTACGTGTAGAACGTGTAGCACTAGAGTTTTTCTTCGGTGTGGAAAAATAATACTATTCGAGGAAGATTTTGCCTTCCCTAGAACGAAAAAGAACGAAATCATTAGCACTTAATTAAATTAAAGTAAATAAATGAATTAAATTCGAAAATCCCTTGCGGGGAAAACAAGTCAAACTCAGACTACTTTTAATTAAACCTTGTGGATGGTGGATTGCGGTAAGATTGAAGTGCTTTTAGGAGGTAAACACACGCTAGTGGAAACGAATTAAGATTAATGAAGAAAAACTACCCACAGGATAATAAACCAAATAAAAATAAAGTGAAAACAACGCAAAGAAAAACCATTTTAACGATGAGTGTTTTGTTTGCTTACATAATGCAAGAGCATGTTTATCACAGCAACATTTTCTTATCTTGGTGTACTCGTCACAATGGCCGGCGATGGGGCGGCACAGTTTTCTGCCCAAGTAACACGTGTGCGGAATGTAGGGAAGTTCTTCTGGAACAGTGGCCAAATTACAGTATACAAACCGGTATAATTTCACTATGGTAACATTTGTGCTTCTAAATTCCTAAGATACATAACCTATAAAAAAGTTTCTGCTGAGTCATCCACTTTTAATAAAATCAGTACACATTTGCAAGTTTTCATTATAGGATATTTTTTGCGTGTTACGTGAAGCGAAGCGTGTTGAATTGTGTGTTTACATCAGACGTGTCAAATGACAAGTGCTTATGAATGTTATGATCACGATTATGGTCTTAATCATTGCAATTTTAGCGTTTAACTTTTGTTTAGAATCGTAATACTGCACGTCATAAATTGCAATTAAATGTGAAGGCGATTGTCAAGTGACATAAGTGAATTGAAGTGTAAGTAACATGTTTGTTTATAACATTGCAATATGGATGGAGCATTTCAATCGTGATTTCAATATTTATAGTGTTTATAGTTCATTTGTTTATCTTACGAACTAAAAACAAACATTTGCTGCCGAACTTTTTTATTTCGCAATAGCCAAACTTTTAGTAAAGCACGAAAATTGTGTGAAAAGTTTGAAAATATTTAAATTATTCACACACGGAGAACGGAGACTTTTAGGTAAATTGTTTTCCATTGCGAAATGTTTGCCGCTCACGCAACGTACGCACCAGAATTTTGTTTTGAATTTAAAGCATGTGCCATCTTGTAACTCTCTCAAACTATTGTCATGTCTTTGTCCTTTTTTCACCCGAATTTCGTTCGTGTTTGTGCTTACGTATGAATTATATGTGTGTTGAAACATGGGCGTCGACTGAAAATATTGGCCGCCCCTTGAAGGCACAACATAACGTTGAGTTTATTTTATTCTTTATTAAATTAGACTTGATATATAATATAGAGATGTGCCGACGATACATGATTCTTCTTTTTTATTTAAGGATTTTTATTGAATTTTAGATTTGATTTACAATATCAGCATTTCTATCCATTGATTTCGTCTTACTTCATATTTTGCGTTGTTATCAAAATTGGTATTTTTTGGCAGTTTGTTGACTTTGTTTTATACATTTTTATAACGTTATTAATCATCGCAATATTTACACTTAAAATTTCTTTTTGTTAATAAAGTAAATAGCCAAATATTAGGCTTTCTCGACCAGTCAGCGACTATTCTGTTTTTTATTTCACTAAATTTAAAAAAAAGAGAGTGGTGTTTTTGCCCCATCTATTTATTTCAACAGCCGGAATGACAGTGGAGCAGCATGAAAAATGCAAACGGTTTTGTTGTGCAAATTTTGCACGTCCGCTCGCGTTGACGCGCGCATGAACCCTGAACTATTTGAAATAATCATTAGCCGGCGATGATTCAATAATGCACGAAGAAAACAGCATTACCACGCGCACGCGGTTAATATTTCACGGCGCATTATTCCGCCCACTTTGCTGCGTGCTACTGACCTAACCCAACATAACCTGAAATGCATTCATTTATAAATTCATCAACAGTTACCCAAATTGCGCGTGTTACAGTCAGTCATGCAAAGCAATTTTAATTGTATAGGTATCACATTCCATTGGCATTGTCAAAATTTAATTAATTTACTTAATTAGATTTATTAATTAATTTTATAAAAACCCTGTTTAATCATTTTTATTTTTTCTAGTTATATACTGATTGGTCGTTGAATATTTGAAAACGCTAAATTTTCGGCTTTTTTATAGTCGGCGCAAAATCGGTAAAAAGACACGAAAAGTTTGATCTACATTAGACCAACATTTTGTATATTGATGATTAATCACGTCACAAATACAAAATAGAGAAAAAAATTGTATAAATACAAAACAAATTCAACTAATTTTAAGAAGAAGCATTAAGAAACAGTGCAAAATTTGAAACAAATCAGAGAACGACGAAATAATAACATTTTTGATTGTATTGTGATACCATTTTAAGTCTTTTGACGTAATTCCTCTATAACGTCTATTTGACGACACCGATTAGTCAAAACATACTCACAAAATTTAAAATTGTGTCACATTTTAGGTAAACAAATTAAAAATATTAAAGCCATAATAAATAGTAAGACTATTCGGCCATATATAAGTTATACAAAATTGTGTTCCATAGGGTTATCAAAATATCTTTAATTTAACTACCAATTTTTGGCTTAGAATATGTGCCGACCACCCTATCACATCATGTTCAATAATACATAACATTGCAGTGAAACACAAATTGCATCCAAAAACTCCCTTAAACAGGTCAAAGCTACTCCGCTCCTGTACTACACTTCATAATAAACTGTATGACACTTGCCACACCTTCGTAAAGCCGGTTTTGATGTCTAAACAATGAAACTTATTTTTCATATCAAATCAAATTGCAGCATGTATTGTTTCGTTCGACATGATTAACTTGAAAGTTAGTGCGCGCATGATCGTGTCGACGAGTGACAGCCTAGTCAACCGAGTAATTCGTGTGCAATGTGTGTTCAACATAAGCGCACAGCATATCACTCGCCCGTTGGTTCATGTTTCGTGTTTAATTATTGTTATTGATACTGATTCGCAAAACACAGAATGCCAGAAAGCCAGCTGCTGTTTTCGCAGAACCATACAAGAATTATTAAATAAACATTATCACAACAACACACAACTCATCCGTCTGTTGGATGGGTTTATACTTTGATTATGAACTGCATAAATAAACAAAACGCGTAAAATCATGAGAATTATTCGCTATGCAAAAATTAATTAATTATTTCGTGTAGTTCTCTCTGTAGTTTGCTTATTTTCAAAAATGTATACTGCATTAAAGTATGAAAATAACTAATTGATAATAGCGTTTAATTAAAAGTTATGAAGCATTTTACTTATATTTTATGAATTTTTTCAAAGTGCAACTTTAATTATCTATAAGTTATTCGATTAAAATATTTTGATAAAAATACTTACGTTAATGAGTGTAGTACTTATTTAATTTGAAAAAATACTTTTTATGTAAATTTAAATTATAACGAAAATAGTTTTAGAATAATTAATTAAAACCGAAGGTCACCAATATATCAACAACCATATCCCATATTATTCAATATTCATAAATAATAAACTATGGCCGATAAAAATGTGTAATAAAGTGTAAAAAATTGTAAAATCGTGCAAACAGGTGTCAATAATGTTCAACATTGATATTATTGAAGCCAAGTCATGTTGAAAATTAATAGGTGATGAAATTTTATCGCGGTTACCACCATCGACCGTAATTCAAGCCTACAGAGTCGTTTTGCCAAATAAATCATCACAGGATTTTTTATCATTTGATATTTTGCAATAAAATTTCTAACGACGGCTCTGACCAGCGACACTGTTAGTATTATGGTCCGTGCTGAATTTACGTGTGCGGCAAATCGATTCAGACTGCGACCAATCGATTGTCATTTATTTCTGGTTGTTTTTGCTTATTTTTGCGAAACGAGGTGAAATAAATAGCCATTACCGTGAAACCGCCGATCGCAGCAACAATGGTCGCTGACGAAATTCGCACTCTCGCAGTAACGAATCTCTTCGGTGGTGCACTTTTGGCAGCTGAATGGTGGTTGTACTGCAAAAGAAAAAATTTATAAATCAAAAATTTTATTTTTATTATTATCAAAGAAATGGTGTCTTTCGCAGAGGTACAATTTACTTTAACGTTGAGAATTTGTGACTCAATGAACTGACAAACATTAATTACAATCTGAGATTCATTGAAACTCATAGATATCCCAGTAATAATTCCAGGAAATTCATCAGGGCGCATTGAAAATTTCGATTCATTGAACGTGTATTCATTCGCTCGGAAATTAACCCTTTTACAGGTCACGTGCTATTTTTATTTTTATTACCTGCCATAATCTTTACTTCCAGTCCTAACCTCAACTTCCAACACAAAGTGCAAATTTTGTTTCGTTTTTTATGAGTCCAACTCTTATGCTGGTAATTTTGCGGAGGAGTTATAATTGTGAAGTTTGCTAGGCACTGTTTATTGGTACACATTTTATTAGTGTCAAGCTGCGTGCGCGCTCTCGCGCCTTGAGCGATGAGCGACTTGAGAGGGAATTTTCGCCGCCTTGTTAATTACTTTTAATTAGCGCCAATTAGACTTCGTTGAATTTATGGCAAAAACTCATTGTTGCTAATGCGCTGCCGTTTGGCATCAGGGTGGCGGCGCGTGTGCTATCGATCACCGCGACCGCGCGAAACCATCGCAAACTAAAAATAAAACAGCAAGCATATTCAGAATGTGTACACAACGCATACGCAAAGCGCAAAGAAAACTGTTTGATGTTAACGTCTTTGTAACTCCTACAAGCGATTACGTTTTTAGTATGCTTTAAAAAATGTTGAAAACTTCATCTATAGCATGTATGTTTATTTGGCTGCCTATCTCAACATGAAAACCTGTACTTCCCGTGACATAACCACAAACTGTCATAAATGTAAAGTTCTACTCACTTGCATCCAGATCGATTGCTAGTGCCGCGTTCTTCGCCCGCAGCGCAGACACCTCGTGCTCCACTACGTACTCTTCGAACTTGTACGCTGCCGTGGGGGACGGCGTCCCCTCGCCACCCCCAAACAACACTAGAACGCCGATGAGCGCCAGCAACGTGCGCGCTAACGATGCACATTGTCCTCGTCCTCCTATCATGCTTGCATTCACATGTTTGTAGAAACCATCATGGCCGACAAAAGCACAAATTCGTCAAATTCGTTCACTGTGAGTATCCGTGTTTAGCTGGTTCGGAGTCATTAATGCATGAGCACAATGCGTTTAAATAACTATTACTTAAACTTTTTCGACGTGCGCGATGTTTGCCCGACTCACCTTCGTCGCATAATAACTTTTGTAGAAATTGTTATCTGGTCGCGGTCGTCGCGTGAGCGCTCCTATTGTCGCTCGTAATTTTCGAAAATTGTTAAACGCGCGCCATCGTTATCTCCACAATGGCGGCTTCATTATTGTTATTATCTTTATTAAAATTATGTAAAATGCACTTCGGCGCGGTATTTAATAGATGTTTTTATTCCATTCTATTTTTAAACTCCACAATTTATATTATGTCACAGTTAAACATTCACTTTGTGTATATCTTTTATTGGTTCGGTACGTTTTGAGAAGTTTTCGCTAGTTTTGCGCGTTGCACGTGCTTGATTTTAGCCGTTTTTGACGGTTGTACTGCGCGTGGCAGTAGCAACTGGTCATTCGGCGGTGATAATCGACAATGGAATGAAAGGCGGGCTCGGCGAGCGCGTGCATGGAAGCTCGCACATTATTAGGGGGAACACGCAGGGAACGACACACTCGTGAAATATATAAAACTTGCGAGAACTGCAAATCACACAAGTGCTCGTGGGATTTACCCGTTCAAGTAACTTGTGAAGGGCATTCGTATTCAAATGATGCAAATTCAAAAGCGAGGCGACTAGACACGTGACAATCAAAACTAGTTTTGGAAATAACTTCAACTTGATTCAACTTAACTTAATTTTCCATTAGTTTAATACGAGTTTAGACAGCTTACGACAAATATATTAAACGTTTTTAATTGTTTTGAGTTTATTTAACTTGAAAATCACAATAGTTAGCACTTCAGTGGACAATAACTTTTGTTCGTTAATTAAATTGTCACCGATGTAAAGTGAGCAGCTGTTAAATAGCAGACAAAAGTTCAAAGTTACATAACTTTGTGTTAATTATAAATTTAACACTTGAAACCTACAAAAACAGGTCAGTTCTATAGCACTAATGCAATAGTTTATTTTTGAGATTATAATGAATCATAAACATGAATATTTTATATCAAAAATAAAACTTTGCGGTCCCTATAAGAAAGTTTACTTTGTACAACAAAAAGTTTCCGGAAGTGAGTGGAGTCCGATCAGTTATTTATACTCTCCTCTGTTTTCTATATTTATCCTTTATGCCGATATTGATGGCCAAACTCGCAGCAAATCAATCAAACAGTTAAAACAACTGGGAACATCTTAAAACTACTTGAAAACAGTTTCATAATTCAAACGTGTAAAATTTCCATCACAAGAATGTATTACTTGCAGTTGGTTTGCAATTGCCAGTTTTAAACTGTTTTCAATGCATGCGTTTTATGATATTATCAGTGTTATTATAAAATCGACGGAATTAGTGACACAAAAGATAGTAGTCATCATCGCATCAATAAATAGACATATTAATTTCATCCGATGATGAATCACATTCGCACATTCAAATTTCATCGTGGTCTATGTGCAAAATATGAAAAATAGATGCATAATAACACTGTAAAAGCATAATTATGGCTTGTAATAAACATGTTCGCGTGGATAACTGCATTTCATGCACGAGTATGCACATACAATCAATTATAATATTTATTATTTTGACTTTAGTTGAATTACGAGGTGAATCTAGCAAAATAACAACACAATGCAAGTTTAAGGTTATTCTCAATTGCTGTCGCCTGATTTAAGGTTATACAGGTTTACATAACCTGTTTTATATACAGACAGGTGTGAAACAATGTTTGCTGAATTTGATTGAAACCAACAAAATAATAATCGACCGGAAGGGCGAGGTATTTGGCATGCATACCTACATCCTCCTCTAACACCTAGTTGGTATAGAATTGAGCTGAGCCCAGTATGACTTGTCTGAGTTTATAAATGTGTGTGTGTGCCTACGTGCACGTGCACAGGTGCATGTGACAATCACCAGCAATTCCGGCGCTTAAACGTATGCGTTGCACATACGACGCATCAACAATACCTTCAGATACCTTCACACTAATACATCGGTCTACTTGAGTTTTATTTTGTACGGTACGCTCCCGGCATAGCAATTACCGATGTGCGACAAAACTCATCAATGATGGATTTGTCAATCGGCAGTCGGCGGGCGTTTATGAGTTGCTGCTAGTCACAAGGCATTGACTCCCGTGGTTTATTACTTGTATCGATAGACAAGTTTTTTTTCTTTTCCTAATACAATATTCCATTAGTGGATTCACAGTGGCGTCGAACGTCCTGTAAGGAAGTTGTGTTAGTCATACTCAGATACATTGTCAAATCAAAACTAAACCGATTCAAAAATCTTTTTATAATGAAGTAAATTACTTATAGTAAATTACCAGAAGCATTAATCAAATACTTTTTAAGGTGTGTGCGATACATACATACATTAAAAGTAATTAACTTTATTATCTATTATACCATTGATTAGTTTTATTAGCTGTTTATTTACGATTTGTTCACTTTACACTCGATCTATCGGTAATAAAGCATTGAGTATGTAAATTCTATTTACAATGGAAACCAGAAACACGTTGAAGGCATAACCTCAATTGATAAATTCATTAAAAATTGAATGAATGTGCTTTTATGTTCTTTCAATGCTTCGATTCGAGGAATTTCCAACCGTTCGAAGAAACAATTGTATTTCTGTACAGTTATGTTATTTCTACATATATACCTAGTAAGTATATTTTATAAAACAATTTACAGGTGATGAAGTTGATTGATTTATTTTTTTGACAATGTTTGTACTTTGCAATTGCTTCGGTATTGTTCCGTTTTGCCCGGAATTGTGATGTTTTCCAGGTATTCTGCAAAGGTCACTTTTGAATAGTTGTTATGCACGCACGGCATACGCGACCGTTGTGCCGCTCACACCCTGCGTTCTAATGTAATCGATAACATTACGTAACAAAATTAGATGCAAATATAGTCGAAGCCGACCGAGTAGAAAAGAGTAAGCGACTAAAATGGATCGTTGAATGGCAACCGAATTAAATTGGCAACGGCGACGGAAGGGCTACCCCGGTGCGAACCGCCTGAAGTGGAAATATAACTTTCAGTTGGAGAATGAAGAAGTTGCAAATAATTAAAACTTTACATCGAATTGAATTTTATTCAATTCAATTCCATTCAATTCAAGAATGCTTAATTCAATGCAATGCACTTGAATATAAATTTATCGTGTTTTTAGGGTTATAAAAGTTGCTATCAGGCAACCAACTATACGAAGTGATGTAGTTTTAATGACACAATATACTTATAAATGTTTGTAACTATAAATAAATTTATTATGCGTTTATCTGGTTCTTATCACACTGTTTTCATACATATTCTGCCCTGGATTGCCACACAATGCAGAACCCGATATGCTTTTGTTAATAATTGTCGTCGAGCTGTGTTGTGTGTTATCTTCCTGTGGTATCTTTTACTTTTCGCAACAACAATGCATCATGTACTCGTAATCCTGGCACAATTGCTGCCCGTTCAACGGGCAATTCAGGAAAGTCGGACATCGTACTGGCAAATTGTCTATAAAAAACAAAAGCAATGGACAAAGAAAAATTTAATGTTGTTTTCATTGCAAAAACTGTAATGGAGCACAATAAAAATGATTAATATGTTTACCAAAGTATCCTGCGCAGCCACAACAAAATCCATGAATAATCGCAGGATCGTCATCACAAAAGTGCGCTGGACAACCGTTGCAATACGGACCAATGCCCAAAAACGGCAAATGCACTAATAACAGCGCAAATAAATCAGAGTTGACTATATAAAGTAATTGTTTTTATTTACCTCGTCGCTTAGCGCGTTGATGCGCGTTGTTTGCGAATGCACAAGCAACTAATAACAAAACTAACAATGTACAATTAAGCAACTTCATTTTGTCGAGGTTTTTTCTTTGTGGAATTTTACTGGTTCTTGTGTGAAATGTACGAGTTTGCTGCTTAAATAGCTGCAACGCATAAATGTAATCTCGACAAATTGGTTTACTGAAAGCCATTATAAATTATCTAATATTCATATTATCTAGGCACGGAATGGGTTTTTTCTGCTTAGCTTTTATTACTTTTATATCATATTGGATGCACAAGAGGCAGGTAGCTATTTAATGGGGACATTTGTGTTTACTTTTGGTTTCTACCCGCGATAATGTTGGAATAATCATAATTTTCGTGGAATTTTCTGTTTTTTTGTTTATTTTGATTTTTTTTACATAAACAACAACTAACTGAAGGACGCACAATTTGACATTGTTTAAAACAACGCATTATGAATTATTAATTGGTGTGAGGGTTGTTTATTAATATTTGTTTAATAATTATTGTTAAAACATTACATCTGCCACGAACATCTGCATTTTCATGTTTTAGTCAGGCAACCAACATTACACCTAGTTGTTTTCACCCATCGTAATTTATAAAAGTGATCTTCAACAAGTATTTGCGGAATAAAGAAATTATTTAAATAATTAGTAGTTATTTAAAGACAACACAATGGGTTTCTTATCAGTGCTACGCAAAATGAAGCAAAAAGAGAAAGAGATGCGTATTTTAATGCTGTATCCTTTATTAAATTACATCGTAAATATAACCTTAAAACCAACAACTGGTACTTTATTACCATATATTTCCTTAATTAATTGTTTAGAGGCCTTGACAATGCTGGCAAGACAACAATATTGAAACGATTTAACGGTGAAGATATAAATACCATCAGCCCAACTTTAGGTTTCAATATAAAAACACTAGAACATAGAGGGTGAGTCATTTTGAAAAAGACCATTATTTTGTAAACATATCACAAATATAAATGTTTGTAGGTTTAAATTAAATTTGTGGGATGTTGGAGGGCAGAAATCATTGAGATCTTATTGGAGGAATTATTTTGAATGTACTGATGGCCTTATTTGGGTTGTAGACAGTGCTGATCGAAGAAGATTAGAAGATTGTAAGCAAGAACTACATATATTACTGCAAGAAGAGGTATAGTACTTACATTCTTTAATACTGTAATTGTAATGTTATTTTTTAGAGATTGGCTGGAGCTACTCTGTTAGTTTTGGCTAATAAACAAGATTTACCTGGTGCATGTACAGCTGATGAGCTGAAAGATGTAAGTATACATCACACTGAATAGATTGTTATGATGCATTTATAAATAAGAAATTTAAGAGTTGCATTCACAGCAACAGAAGGACAACTTGACATTTCTTATTTGGATTCCTAAAATAGTGGAGGCATTTTAAATGCATAATGCCCATGATATGAGGATGTATTTAGTGAGAATCAAACTTTCAAATTTGCTGCATTTAATAAGCTTGAATAAGATACAATAGTTTCATTATTTAAACTGGCACATTCAATGCCCAATATTATCAAATATACTGTATAAAGAGCAATTACTATTTCCATTAGTTTAAGAATGCAAGCGAAATTTATCGTTTGTTTAAAGACCAAACCTTTTTTAGGTGTTGGTAGAATCGCATTGCTATTACACCAGACGAGTTTTTTTAATATTCAATACTTTTTTATTAATTTAACCTGCTGTATATCTACTACGTTTTTTTTTAACTTTCAGATCTTGGAACTCGATGATATCAAAACTCATCATTGGCAAATTTTAAAATGCAGCGCTGTGACAGGAGAAAACTTACTGAATGGCATTGACTGGATCATAAGTGATATTGCAGTTAGAATCTTCACTCTTGATTAAATTTATTAGTTTATTATATTTGGACATTTTGATATTAACTTCTTTTGTGATTTATCACTCATCTTTGTTATCTTCATCATCAGGTTCCTTGAACATAATCGACTTCTTTCTTGGCATCAGATCTTTCCTGTCCTCTGCCTCATCATCACTTTTTGTGGGCACCATCATCCTGACCCCCGATTTATTTTTGGGTTGTGGTATCAAACTTACCCTAGACATATTCAGAGATACGATACTTTTAAGCACAATCGATTTACGCGCTTCCTTCTCGCTGAGAACGTCTAAATCAATTGTAGTGACCACGTTTTCAGTTTCAGTTGGCTCTTCCAGCATTTCTTGTTGAATCCGTGACAGTCTAATGAGCGCATTTGTCCCACTAACCATTTTGGACGTGACAACGGATGATGCATTTTCCAGAGGGCTCATTACTAAAGAATCCGTTCCAATGGCTTTTTCTTCGGTTGACGGTCGAACAGTACTTTCAACTGCATGGGTGAATTTGCGCGTACGTCTTCTGTTTTTCTTGTCACTTTTAGGCGTTTTGGGGGGTGCGAGAGGTTGAGTATCTGGGTACAATTCTAAATATGCGTCCCGCATGAGTTTCAGTTCGATTTTTTTCTTTTTACGGCTAAAAGTTTCACCCAGGAAGTCGATTAAATCGTTGTCGAGATTGATCTTTGACTTCTTCACCAGTTTTTTTAGGGTTGCATTGTCCACTATTTCATCCGGGAGGGACATGATAAAATCAGAACTAAACCCAGGCATAAATTAGTATTCGTCTTATGTTACACATAATAATAACTTTCTTGGACAATATTTACCCAAAATCTTTTTTAAGTTTCTTTTTCTTTGGTTTCTGAGCCAGATAACGACATCTATCAAAGACAACTTTCCTCTTATCTGGACCTTCAATAGTGTAGTTTTCCAGAATGCCTTCTATACGTACACTTTTTCCCATGTCGGTTAATTTTTTCCATAGCTATAAAAATGTTAATTTAACGAATTTATATAATTTATTAAATTATATTACATACAGGTACAAAATTCTTGTTGACGTAAACGTTTTGTAAATCCATATACTCTAAAGGATGATCTGGATGTAAAATGGAAATCAATTTAAGGGCGTCCGTCGGTGTAATAAGGTTAAACCCTAAATTAATACTCTTCAATGACTTGTTGTCTTTTAGAGCATTGGTCAACATATGAATCATCTTTCCCATCAATCTTTAAAGAATCATTAATGGGCAGAAAAGCATTTTTGTTTTAATTCATACCTGTTAAAACTCAAATCTAAATGTTGGAGCTTTTTAGTTTCCTTTATATATTTCGCTAGAGGTGCCATGTGTTCCGGGGTGCTTATACCATTCCATTGCAGGTTTAAATACTCTAAGCTGTCGGCCTCAGCTATGCCACTCAATAAATAATTTAATGCTTTACCTTCATACAGATCATTCCATGATAAATCTAAGAAGTCTATGTTTGTGTGTTCTCGTAACAAATCTCCCAGTGGCTTTGCACCAGATTCTCCCAAGTTATTATGTCCCAAATTGAGTTTGTCCACGTTGTAGTTGCCCTTCAAGGCACCAACTAATATTTCCATACCTTCATTGCCCAAATCATTACAACTGAGGTCGATTTCACGAACAGATTGGTTCAAACTGAAACCTTCTGCACAGTTGGTCATGCCTTGTATTCCAAGGCGACATTCGTGAAGATTAAGTACGTTGATGCTATTGTTTTCACGCATCATCTCACAAAGCCATAAAGCGGCTTCGGGAGATATCCAGTTATCTGCGATAATGAGGGTTTTGATGTGCGTGTTTAGCATGATACAACTTGAGATTGCTTTAAATTGTTTATCGGAAAGCCCATAATACTAATAAATTAACGTTATATTTTAATTGTTTTGTTTTTAATCATACCTTTATTTACCTTTAAATTGAGAGTATCTGTATTTAAACTTCTAATAACTCTTGCAATTGGCGCAATATTCATGTCTTTACACAATTGACGATATTTGCCTGTACCAATGTCGTCAAACGTCTGTTCCGGTTCTATAAAATTTTATTTATTTTGTGTTTTTGTGTTTGTTCCAAATTGGTGCACTGTATTACCTATGTATGTAAATGCTTCATCTATGCCCGGATCCACTAAAACGGGAAAATGATATAGAATATGTCGCATTAGAGAGCTACGTGATATCAAAATTTGTGTTAAGCATCGAAAAGATTCCGTATTCTTCTCGAATAAATTTTCGGTTTCTATCTCGGGCGCATTTTCCAATACTCTCTGCATGCGAGTTTCTGATAATCCATCTAAATTCGGAGCTGATTTAGGTAAGAATTGTCCAGTGTGAACGGGAAATCCGTCTATATTAAAAGTATCATCGACCCCGATTAACACGCTTAGTTGTGATTCCTCTTCAACCGACTCTCCTTCAGCATCAAAAAATTCGGTATTTGTAAAGAGCTCCATATTTAACTGATTCTGATATAAATTGTTATATAATTAGTAAATTATTAAATATATGACACACTATAATGCTTTGTTTGAAGTTTAAGAATTTAATGACATGACTTGAAATAGTTAAGTTTGTTTTTAATGCGTTACGTTGGTTGCCTAATTAGGCTTCTTTTTTCAAACCTAACCATACTTCTTTTATTTGCTGCCGTCATTTTTTGATCGTCTACGTGATGAATTGAAACATTTTGATTGATATTATTTGTTAGCAAATATAGGCAAAGATATTTTTGTACACTTTGTTTACATTATAACACAAACATCGTTATGATAATATTTAACATTTAACGTTAGTTTGCTGTCGCAACATGGAAAATAATAAGTTACCCTTAAAATTCACCATAAACGCGGAATATTGTGAAACATAGGAGGAAACAGTAAAGTTGAAATACAGTAGTAGGGTGTTTAGTTTAATGGTAATTTATCGAACAATCGAATATCAAATATTTGAAGAACCAAAATAAAACTGCCGGTAGAATAATTCATCGACTCATTTTTTTTTCTGCTTTTAGACGTGCATGTAAAGTCTGTGAATTGTTATTTAAATGCAATATAATGAATTGCAGTTATACATTGAATATTTTAATTAACTTATTTGTTTCATTTATTGTTGTTAATTCATTTGAAAAGCAGTTAAAGCTGCCAGAATTGTTACGAAAGCTTTTCCAACATCAACAATGCATTTACTTGGTTTTGTACCAGGAAACATATAAAAATTTAATTGAAAATGTATTCGAAACATTACCCATCTTTATTATACACAACTCAACTTTTAATCCTAATGTAGTACCGAATGAATACAATTGTGAAGAAACAGGCTACATTGTGATAATCAACGATAAAAGTGATATTAGTTATATAAACTTGCAGATGTTTCTACCGCAACAAAGAATTGTGTTTATACATTCACCCTGTATAAAAACACAACTTTACAAGGCCGTGAATGAGGGATTGTTTCGTAGCGTCGATATAATTCTCATATCAATCAGTGTTTCAAGAAATTTTGAGTTATTAACTATAACAAACAATACAAATGCAAAACTAATGATTAACGAAGTGTTCTGGTACAACAAAAATATTACGATTAACGAAACAAATTTAAATAATACTCAAGAAACAAAAGTTAAATTATTATTTAAAAAACCAGTTCAAATATTGTTATTTCATCAGTTTCCGTTTGTTGTAATAACAAATTCAACATACTCTGGTCTAGAGATTGAAATTTTAAAACTGATTACGAAACATTGGCCCTTGGAATTTGTTGAGTATGGATTGTTCGCATGGAATAAAATGCTAGCAGATTTATTAAACGACACTGGCGATTTGTCTATAACCGCCCATTGGCAGTCAGAAGTGATGAACTATGAATTAAACTTTGTTCCGTATATGGAATTAAGTTCAACATTTCTTGTTCCGGATGCGCATCTGCTACCTCGTGTTACATACTTTTTTCAACCTTTGTCAAACAACACATGGATACTAATCATTGCAATATTTATTCTGATGGGTCTTTTATTGCATACAGTATCCAAGTATCATGAAGGACGAATGTTGAAAAATTATTTTATGGTCTCCTTAAGCTTTTTGGTGCTTAATTCAACAACACATCGTGAAAACAGATATCTGCTTCGAAGTATTTTATTGATGTGGTCAATCACCTGTTTACTCTTAAATACTTCATATAATGCAGGTTTGACGTCATTGGAGAATGTACCTAGAACAACCAAACCTATCAGGAATTTCAAAGATATGGCTGAGAACACAATAAGATGTCATATTTACGGTGACTTCACAATAAATTTTTTGAAGCAATCTGAAGATGAAAATAGACATCGGGTTGCTAAGAATCTTGTTTCCCATCTGGATGATACGCCGTTAAATGGTCGTTGTGTAAATGTAGATGTTCTGGACAACAGTTACTATTACGCTGGTTTTAAGTTAAATGTTGATGACTTCATAGATTTTAAACTGTTGAAAGAGTTTTATCAGACAACAAATATGGTGTTTGTGTTACCAAGGCGTTCGGTTTATTTTGAGCCAATTCAGAAAGGCTTAAATAACTTGTTTGAATGTGGTTTAGTTAAGTATGTTTTATCAAATTATAGTGATCAATACTTGTATACTTCTCAAACGTTTGCTGCGAATCGATGGACATTTAAAAAATATTTGTTTGAACCAAATACTGTATCAGATCTTCAGAGCGCATTTGTCTTGTTAGTTTCTGGATACTTGTTGGCAACTTTGGGACTGTTGTATGAGATTGCAAGATTCTACTGCGATAGTCGTACACTCATTTTTTATGATTAAAAAGACGATGTAGAATTATTTATTTCCGACTTGATTAAAATTAACATTGATTTAATATGAGAATTTAACAACCAAGCAAGTTCACAGGTCCTGTAATAACATATTAAAGGTACAGAAAAACCATGCACAAATTTAAATACATAAAAATGCAAAGAGATGAGTGTGATAGTTAATTATGTTTCGATTTTATAAGACCGGGACAGCGCGTACGCAGTCCCGACTACCAAAAATTGCGCGCCCGAGTTATCCACATTAGGGATAATCGCAGGGGTCAGCCCAGCCGTAGTGCAATGGGAGGGCCTCACCCTGGGGGAACCGCCTTGTTGATCACGGTAACCCCTACGCCAGGTAAGTATGATTAGGGTAGCCTTCTGTTAACATATATACACCCCAAATAAGTTTTAAGGGTTGGAAGTATTTCAGTGCCATCTATTTTTGCTTAACGTAAACACAACCGAAACATATTCAAAACCGGATAATGATCAATACAATTATTAAGTACGCAAGTAATTATACTGGTAATGTAATGAATATTTTTAAAAATACATTACTGTAAAGGGAAATTTATGAGGTTTCGTTATTCTCATTGACATCATTAGTTTCTTCATTGGTTGGTTCGTTGTTGTCAACAACATTGTCATCATTGGTGACGTCATTGTTCTCATTATTTTCATTATTGGTATCATTGTTATCATTATTTTCATCATTATTGTTATTGTTGTCATCATTTGTGTCAGCATTATTTCCATCATTGGTTTCTTCATTGGTTGCGTTAATACCATCCTCATTGTTTCCGTTATTATTATTTTCGGTGTCATCATTGGTGGTGTCGTTGTTATCATTGCCACCTTCATTGGTTTCTTCATTGGTTGCGTTGGTATCACCTTCATTGTTTCCGTTATTGTTATTTTCGGTGTCATCATTGGTGGTGTCGTTGTTATCATTGCCACCTTCATTAGTTTCTTCATTGGTTGCGTTAATATCACCTTCATTGTCTCCATTGGCGGTATCGTTGTTATCATTGCCTCCTTCATTTGTTTCTTCATTGGTTGCATCATTGTTTTCATTAGGCGTTTCAATATTACTTTCATTACCAGTATCTTCTACATTGTTCCCATCATTTTCGTTGGGAGTCTCCACGGGTTCCTCGGGGGGTTGCACGACTGGAGGTCTGGATGGAAGCACTGGTGGTCTGTATGGGTTCACACGAATGATGTGCAGAAACTTAAAGCGATCCAAGATGAGAACTGTGCCCAGAATACGGTTACTGTTTATATAAATAAATGGTCCTCTGTTTTCGTTGAGAAATCCAATGGGTCCGGTCCATTCTGTTCCAGGGCGCAGGGGACGGTAAGTTGGTGGGAAGAGAATGGGTAACAAAAATATCCTTTCTTCGGCCGAGTCTTCAACTTCTGGGGAATTGACAGCAATTGTGAAAACATCTATGGGACTGGCATAGCTTATGGCCAGAGACCCAAATATTACAAGGGCTGCAAACTGATTTAGCATTAGTGTTTCACATTTCAAGATTCCCAAATAATATTAATTATAGCTTACCTTCATGTTGTAAGTAGTGTTAAACTTTAAAAATTGCCAGAAAATTCCACTATTTATAACCGAAAATAGAATTATTTTATCATATTTTAGTAAAACGAACAACATTACTGTTATCTATGCGTTGCGATAGAATTTTGGCGTTAGATTTGTAATTTACCAAAAACAAAAACAATGGCTACACTGAATAAAATTATTTTGTGAAACCTTCAGGTTTTTCTCATGATTTAAATATAAATTACTTTGTTATTGTAAATTTATCTTTAAGAAATTATGATTATCTTATTTTCGTAACGGCTTGGTTGATCCAAAACCGGAGATTTACAAATTCTGCCCACAAGCTATAGGCCTCCTGATTGTTAGGTGCCAAACAAAAGATAAAAAATTTCCTGCTTAGTGTACTTCAATTCTCGCAACGTAATAGTGTGTTTATACATACATACCTATTATACATATTTAGCTTACACAAGTAGGGTACCTACAGTGCCTACATCAGGATTTTTGCATAGTAATTCATATTCAAATGTCCAAGAAATTAGTCATTTATCTCTTGATCTTTGGTTTCGAGGTAGTTACCTACAATATTGAATATTAATGGACTGGCGCTTTATAGGTGGAAGTAGAAAAAATAATTTAATTATGTACATTATTTACGCTCTAAACCTTAAATTTACAAAAATTGATATTTTTTTAAACATTATTTTTGAATAAAAATAGAACTAAATTTCTGTTAGAACATTTAGCTGAACCCATCAAAACTGCGCCACCGCACAACAAAAAGTTAAAAAGAAAAATCAAATCCTTAAGTTTTCAATGATTCCCTGCTTTTCAAGACAACAAAAAAATAACTTTGAAATAATTTTGCGTTTCTACATTCTGTTTTCCGACTAAATAATAAACCATATATAAGGCGTTTTCAGAGAGTTTGGGGGATTGAGATGTAGCGGGTCTTTTAAACTACAATATGATGGGAAAATATTCAAGTTAGGGGAATTAGTTCATAAGATATACAGACAAGTTTGGCAGATACTAACAAATTTGAGAAAATAGCCAGTTTGCTTGGGCATGTTAGGGCGCACCCTAAAGATTTACGAAATAGGAAGAATACGCATATTAGGTTTTAATACATAGATGAATTTGATATCTTATGAATGTGTTTATTACTATATGAGAAATTATCAGTGTAAAACCATTGATAAAACAAGATAAGTATATAACTGAATCATGTATTATTTAATTTGTTCTCAAGTTTCATAATTATTCATATTTCACACTCTGTAGCCTCTGTGCATAACCTAGTTTTTTCGTAGAGTCTGAATTCTTGAGTGGGTTCAGTGGGATCTTCGTCCTTTCGGACGAATGAGAAGTTCCAAGTGTTTCATTTGATTCTCTTAATTTTAATGCAAATACAATAGTAATCTTATCCATGGCATCTAATATCGTAGAGGAATCATCGGAAAATGGTATTACATCAGAAGTGAAGCTAACAGATAACTTGGAACACCTTAATACATGCATTCGAGAGGTGGATGCACTTAGCATTAGCCAGCAGCAGCCAACCTTCTCAGAACAAAGCAATGAAAATACCGAAAATGAGGACAATCAAAGTGCATGCTCTTTACTATCTCAGGATGAGGACTATAGAAAAAATGCTGACTGGTTGAACAAATCAAAACATATTTTTGTGATGAGCACAGCTGGGAAACCAATCTATTCAAGGTAATTAAATAAAGCATTATAAACTATGTGCATTCAGGAACTTATTGATGTTTTAGACATGGCAATGAGAACAAATTAGCAACATTGTTTGGTGTAATGCAAGCAATTGTAAGTTTTGTTCAAGATCAAAATGACACAATTAAATTTGTGCAAGCTGGCAACACAACCACTGTGTTCCTAATCAAAACACACATTATCCTAGTGGCAGTTTCTAAAACACAGGAAAATGTGAAACAATTAGTTCTTCAATTAAAGTAAGTTAAAACATAAGTAACAATTGGATGGTTTCAGTTTATACATTCAAAACATTTTTTTTAGTTATGTATTTAATCAAATAATTAGCATTCTAACTATGACAACTTTAAATAAGACATATGAAAAACGAAGAAATTTTGATCTAAGACGATCCCTGTCGGGAGTGGAGCGTCTAATAGATCACCTGCTTGATTTTTACGAAAAAGAACCTGCGTTTACTTTCGGAGCTGTCCAATTTTTACCACTGCAATCTTCTGTTAGAGACAACATAGGTTCAGCAATCATCCAGGCATGCAGTAAAATAAAGGTACATCTAATGGAATTTGTTTTAAAATTATTATAACAAACTATTCGTTTTCAGAATGTAGTATTTGGAATTCTGCTAGCCAACGACCAGTTCATAACAATAGTACGCATGAAAAAATATTTTATTCATCCGTGCGATCTTCATCTTATTCTGAATCTGGTGCATGCGTCCGAGAGTCTGAAAGCTGCCGAAAGTTGGACACCTCTCTGCCTACCGCACTTCAACGAAGATGGCTACCTCTACAGTCATGTCTCTTATCTCGCCGAAGACTGCCAAGCATGCCTGCTGTTGCTAACAACAGATCGCGATGTGTTTTTCGCATTGAGCGAAGCAAAGCAGCGCATTGTCGAGAAGCTGCGGCGTGGCAACTGTCTTGAGGCGATCAATGAGTCACTGAACACTCCAAAGGAAACGGCCATAGTTAGCGGGTTTCCCGAAATAAGGCATTACATCTACAAGACAAAGTCGACAAGTCAATTTTATCAGCCGACTGTTGGCCCACCTTACAACATAAACAGGCCGCTATTATTTATGCTTTATAAACGCACGCAGCAGTTACTGCATCACGGTGGGTCTCCAATGAAGTTGATCTTCGAGAAATCACCCGATGAAGCCATTCTAGCATGGGACACCAAAGAATTTGAGCTGTATATTATCTTCGAGCCGCTCATTGATACTGCAGCGTCAATCGCCACTGTCTCGCGGCTTCTCAACTGGCTGAAAAAGCGTGAGGATAGGCTGTTCCAAATGAACCAATTGTTATTTTAATTATTTCTCATTTAACTAATGGCAATATTTGGGGGCATTTACGTGCCTACCACGTGAGGAATAACATATTACATAGCCTAAGAGAAGTAGCTTCAACGTAATCGCTGTGATAAAGACGTTGTTCGGGCCAGGTAGGTAAGTCCACGTTGAAGGCATCAACACACTAATTACAAAAATTCTTATAATTTATTTTTACTCGTGTAATTATTGTAATTATCATTGTTGAAACTATTTGTGAATTATTTGATGATTACCATTGTCCACTTTTAGCGCTCCCGCCGACGATCACGATCGCGTTCTCCTCGTTCGTTATGTCTGCGATCCCGATGATCACGGTCGTTGCGATCCCTGCGCTCTTCACGTTTGCGATCGCCTCGATCCTCCCGTTTGCGGTCGCGGTCCCTGTCGCGCTCTCGGTCTCGTTTTTCGCGATTTCTATCTTTGTGTCGATCGGTTCTGTCGGGGCGCTCACGTTCTCTGGATCGATTTCGATCGCGGGATCTTGAGCGACTCCTATCGCGTTTTTTCACCTTCTCAATTTTATTCGGTTTTTCCTCCTCTTGTTTGTGCTTATCTTCTTCAAATTCGATTTCTTCATCTAGGTCGTCCTCAAGAGCTGAAACTTTGGCTTCAAGTTCATTGTTCTCTTCATGTATATGACGTTTTTGAATTCGTGGTAAAATTACATCAGCAACCTGAAATAATAACAATGGTTATAAGATATAGGCAAATTTAAAATGTGTAATTTTTATACTCTTTCTTCTCTAAGGAGTTCATCAATAAACTCATCCACATGGATAACTTCAAAATTTGCCTGCCTGTTTTGTCTCCTCAGCTTTCTATTGTCATTATACAATGGTTCAAGATATTTGTAGCAATCCAAGGAAGATCCAGTCAGTCGCATATAAAATGCGCCAAGGGCTCTAACATATTTGAATTCTTCATTCTTTATGAACTCAACTACAATATCCTTCTCTGGTTGAATTTGTAGCATTTTTAATGTGAGACATAAAAATGGTGTAGGCTTAATGTTGCCGCTGTGTACGCCGCCGATGAATCTCAATTCCATCGCTTTGTCTACTAATAACTCCGCGGTTAAAGCAAAACATTCTTCTTTCCAGTATTTCGAATCATATATTCGTGTTCGGATAATTTTCTCCACCAGATATTGCGGGTTTGTTCCATGCACTGATTTGGCATCTTTGACGGTTCGGTTCGCCATTTCAATTCACCCACCCAGAATTGTTATGTGTTTAATTCATAAATATTAGTATGAACTTTTACTATTATTAGAATAATATAAAATCGAGCGCCTGCTAACCTCTAAACATAAGCATAACACAACACAACGAAACAAAACGACAACTCTTGGCAGGGAAGTGGTGGTAATTTCGTTATACGCATGCGTGCAGCGTCGGAAAATTTATTTAAACCAGACAGTGATAAATGTCTGCTACGATGTTTTATTTGAACACTATTTTTTGTGTATCTATATCAATTTCTTAAATATATTATTAGCAGGTTGTAATATCACACTATAGAATAGCATCTGTTATAGAAATCAACTGAGATATAGATTTTAGTAATTGGTCTCCTAGAAATGCACACCTCGGCAGTTAAGCTGTAAATTAAGTATGTATTAAATAGAATTGCCCATCTGGCAGAAATGCAGCGTCAATATGATATTCCAGAAATAGGATGCACAAATAACCATGGCAGTTTATTTCTATCAAATAATCTTTTTCCACGAGTGATATATAATTATTTCATACAGAAATCCTACACACGCTACCGAATATCCAATAAATAATAACACAAACGCACTATAAATTTCACCTAATGATGCTCTTACATAAGTGTGCTTATTACCCCATCGTTTAGTGGCGAAAACATTCAGAGTATACAAATGATTGGACCTATGGTTCAATAACAAATATTCTGCAATCCCAGCTTCAAAAACTCTGTTCAATCCTTTTCGAATTGATTCAAAATATCTCGATCGTTTTGGCATAACAAACACCAAATTAGTTGTCAGGTAAAACTCTTTTAACAACTTAAAATCAAGGAAGTCATTAACAATCAGCTTAAAACCAGCGTTAAAATAAGTATCATGCAGAATATCACATCTTGCGCAGCGTCCATTTAATGGGTCAGCATTTTTAGGAGTAATTAAGTTTACACCAACATTATGTATATATTTATCAGTGGCCTGGGTCAGAAAGTTTTTTGTAAAGCGACCATACGCATAACACGTCAATGTATTTTCAGAGACGTCTTTGAAAGTTTCAATTGGTTTGGTGGTCCTGGGTACATTCTCCAGTGATGTAAAACCAGCGTTGTATGAAGTACATAAGAGCAAACATGTGATTGACCATACCAATAAAACACTTCTAAGAAAATAAGTATTTGCGCCATGTGGTGTTGTATTAAGCACTAAGAAGCTTAATGCTATCATGAAGTAATTATTCAATATCCGTCCTTCATGGTACTTTGAAATTGTATAGATTAAAACTCCCATAATAATAAACATCACAATGATTAGTATCCAAGTATTGTTTGCCAATGCTTGAAAAACGTAGGTCACTCGTGGTAACAATTGATTTTCTGGTACCATAAATGTCGATTTTATTTCCATATATGGAATGAAATCAAGTCCATAAGGATTCACTTGCATTTGATAATGAGACGTGAATGTCATATCACCGGTACCATTACTTATATCTTCCAGCATTTTTGTCCATGCCAGATCACCATATTGGATAAATTCGATTGGCCAATCCTTTGTTACCAGCTTAAACACATCGATTTCTAGTCCGCTTAAAGAAGAATTTTTAATAATGACGAAAGGAGGCCATGAAAATATTAAAACTTTAAATGGTTTCTTGAATAAGAACTTCACGTTGATTTTTGATTGCTTTTCTATGTTCGTTTCGTCAATGGTTATATTTTGATTTATCCAAAATACTTCATTTATTTGTAGATGGTGATTATTTGTTATATTTATTAATCCAATTTGTTTTGGGATGTCAAAGATGGAAATTAGAAAGACATCCACATTGTAAAACAATCCTTTATATAATTTTTCGTAAATTATTGTTTTTGTAATATTTATATTGATAAATACCACTCGTTTTTGTGGTAGAAATATTTGAAAGTTAATAGAACTAATTTCACTTTTGTTGTTGATAATCACAATGTAACCAGTTTCTGTGCAATGGTAGTTGTTCAAAATGGCAGCTTGGTTTATCGTATCATTAGGCACAATAAAAACAGGAACAGCTTCAAATATATTCGCATGTAAATTACAATTTGTTTCTTGGTTGGCCAACACGATTACACATTGTTTATGTGGAAATAAATTGTTTATTATTTTGGATAGTTTTAAGTTATTTAATAAAGAATATCCAAAATTAAAAAAGATAAATAAAATTAACATTCCTAATAAATTACTGGAATAATACATTTAATTTTATAAGAAGTATTAGAACATGCCAGACTAACACCTTTTTACTAAATAACGTTTTAGATAGCTTTGGGTATATTAAAAAAAATTAATAATAATATTATATCAATATTTAAATTCGTATGAACTCTTTTTACGTTATGTAGTTTTCATTGTTGTTTGATAGCGTGCGTATATACTTTTGCCTAAGTGAAGTAACTTGTATAATGTTAGTTGTTACAAAATCTAGTTCATAATTGACAAAATTAATCAACAGCATGATATAATACCATAGCATTGTATATTATATTAATATACTAGCTGACTCAGTAAACTTTGTACCTTCTTTATTTGTGAATATTTTCGAAATTCCTTTAACACTTATTTTACTATTTATGCCCACCCTGTTTTCACACAGTTAGTACTGTTGCGGCTAAATAAATGTATCACTTCTGTTAATTTCAAATCAGCTGGATTAGCCGTAATTCCATATATTGTGTCGTTTGATGTATTGAAAGTGATTAATCCGTGAAATTATAAAATACGGGAAATATTACATGTTACTTACTTAATGAAAAAAGTCAGACAAAATGTTCCATTTACCATACGACCTTATAATAAGATTGCAATTAAATAATTTAACAGCTATGTTCAACATTATTTTGTAATCCCTACTAATATTATAAATGCGAAAGTCCTGATGTTTGTTACACTTTCACGCAAAAACTACTTAACCGATCATCATGAAAATTTGTACACATATTGTTAGTGGTCCCCGAATGGTTATAGGCTACTTTTTATTTAATAAAAAAAAATTATTTTTAAAATAAAATAAAGAAATTGTTTAGCCAATAATACCTCTGCATCTGGCTATTTCACTACTTTAACGCCATCTAGCATTCCAGCAATGAAGCTCAAACCTAAGTACTATAGTACCATCACACTGTATTATCACACTGTATTACCGACAGCTACGTCAACATCAAATCCAATTGACTACACTATGGAGACTGTACACTATACTTCCATAGACTATACTTTCAGCCATTTTAAACTTCCCGCCATTCTACTTCATTGTTACTTCTTCTGTGACTACAGACGCGAGCGAAGCCGCGGGTTAAAGCTAGTCTACTATATAAAAATAAGTCGGGTTTTCCTTCCTGACGCTATAACTCCAGAACGCACGAACCGATATATTATATAAAAATCATATTTTTAAAGTATGTATTCATTTAATTATCTTTGTATAAATAAATCGATATATAACTATTCTATCTGTTTTCAAGTAAAATCTATTTTTTAACATTTTAAAAGACGTGCGATTGTAATTTTAAGATAAATGTTAAAATTTGATTAAGAGACAGCAAGAATTCATTAGAAAATATTCAAAACTCCGACGTGATCAGGTTGATATTATTATTAATCATATAACGCAAACCGAAGAACTTAAAAAATGTATTAAAACCGCAAAAACTTTGAATACTGAACTCTTGAAATCTAAACATTCCGTGCAAGACAACACTGAAAACATTTATGAGAATAACAACACATTGATTTCTGCCAAACAACAAACTCTCTACCAGATTAAACAGGTAGAAAAAACTAAACGACAAAGTTTAGCAGAAGTTACTAAGGAAATAGAGGGAGTGACAAATGCTACACATGATATTTTTATTGAATCAGTTTTGTTGGATAATCAACAAATTAATGAGATGCTCCATTGTATTAATATTCGAAACTTTACAAAAGATGCTGACAATATAGGCAACCTTGAACACAAGTTGTTACATAAGGGATTGTCCATTAATCACGTGAGGCATGAAGGGGGGGGGGAGGGGTTTGTTAAAAATCACGAAAAATCACCAGGGGGAGGGGGGAGTGGAGTAAGATATCACGTGTATTTATTTTTTCGTCAAACGCACGATTTCTAAAGAGAAAAGCGGCGTGTTGTTGTTGGGATTAAAATACACGTGATGATGGGGGTGGGGGGTGGGGGTAATCTTAAACCTCACGACGTATCACCAAGGGGGAGGGGGGGGTCCAAAAAATGAAAAAAAAAGATCACGTGATTAATGGACAGCCCCTAAAGAAGTGGAGTTTAACAATCTAACAAATAATTTAAATAAACTCAAAATTGTTAGGTAATACTAAAAATTCAAGTGAAATTGCGACTGGAAAAGTAAACCTAAAAATCTTATATCTCATGCCATTCAGGGAAAAATGAAAGATGTTAATAATGATAATACTGAAATTAAAAAACAGTTGAACTTTTACGAAGCACAAATTGCCAAAAGTGAATCCGTCGGCGCAAAATGCCAAAAAAAGCAACAAGTTCTTGAAGAACAAGAACGCTACTTGAAGACAATTGCAGTAGATCTGACTGAATTTAATCAGGAGCATGCACCAAAGTTACAACAAATTAACATTGATATAATAAAAGTTGAAGAAGAAATGGCAATACTGCGTGTAAACTGTGTGTAAAGAAGATGAAACTGGGTTTCTGAAAGAAAAAACCTGCTTGAACAAGACATTTCTATTGCCACCCAGAAACAAAAGCGTTTAATAACAAATCTAAGAAAAACTAAGAAACTTAAGGATAATTTAATGAAAACTTACTCTAAAATTAAAGGTCCTGGAAAAAGTTCAGGTATTCGCAAGGTAACATTCAATCAATAGGTATGTTACTGAACGCGAAATCACTGATGAATCATCGGAAAATTAAATATTTAGTTATAAGATTGTAGAATAACTATTGATTTTTTAAATTGTTTTAAGTTTTTAAGCATGTATACTTCAGTTGACAATTTATTAATACAACACTGCGTAGCATTTACGCATTTACAATGACTTAGGGGAGCGAAAAATATAAACAAGATCAAAGTGATTTTTCGGGCCTTCTCGAAAACGGGCTTCCAAAACTTATTATCCCGAATATATCCATTCACACCATTAATATTATTTAAGTTCAAGTGGGTTAAGGGTGCGACTAACAATTACGGCACGTGATGCATTCATAAATAAATTCTTTGGTGTGCAACAATAACAAAAAAATGTTGTTTCATTTCTTTTCAAATAAATGTAATATCTCACTAACAGTTCTTTTTATTTGCGTGTACACAATTCATCAGTCTTCAATCTTCAAAACCCTTCAAGAAATTAGTTTATAGATTCCTAAATTTCTAATTTTTAATACCCTGTTATAAAAACAAATTTAATACTATCACTATATGAATTTGTGCAAGGTCAAAAACATATTTACTTTCAAGTAGACATCAGTTGAATGTTGTAGTTTCTTTGGACGGTTACGTTCAATTTTGTCTGCAACTAAATAGAGTTAAAACTTTGTCGTATTCGTTTGAAAAGGTATGGAGGAATATTTTGCGGGTAATTTGCCGGTTTGGTGGCGTAGTTGACTCCTCGTCGCACCGCGTTTAAAGGACCTTGCGCGCTGAAATTGGAAAACATGTTAAATTGTACACAAAACAAAACACAATACATACACCCACGATTGACGAATACGTTCTTTTTTCGTTTTGCATTTGCGGAAGTAATAGTTTTTTTAAATATTAAAAGTTGTCGATCCTAGAATGGCGGTAGCTACGCGGAAATCGTCCACCACCCGAAACGGTTACCAGCTTGGAAGACAGAAATATTTACAAATAAATTTCAAAAGTAAAACAATGTGCACGTGTGTTGTTTATTTTAAGTATTTCACGTATTTTTCTGAAACATTATATGAAGCAAACAAAAAGCTATGGGCTAATGAAAGAAATCTAATCATTAAATTTCAAATTTATTTCACAGTTTAATAACAGTGTGTTGTTGTTTATGTAACAAAATTATGGACAATTTAGAATTGAACACATTTTCATCAAGAATATTTTTGTATGATACTCGCATGTGGATGTTTTTTGTAGAAAAATTAAAATACATGTAGAATTGTTTTACTCCCCAAAAAATAACAAAAGACTGTCAATGTACATAAACAGAAAGGAGTAAAATAAAAGAAGGAAATAAAATAATGCGGCAGTATATACAAACACCCAAAGTGACATTCCCTGCGTGTTTGTGGAAACCACCGAGTTGCGGTGGCTATCGTTAGGCACTTGGGATCCATCACCTTTTAAAACTGCAACCGGCTTCCATGTGCTTATGCTATGCACTGCAACAAGCAAAAAAAGTTAACATAATCCGTAGTAAAAACAAGCTATCTAACAGTACATTGCAATTTAAAACTTGTACAACTTACTTTTAAACATTCTAACATTTCCATCATCACCGCTTGATGCTACAACTGTTCCAGTAACATTCCAACACACTCTCCACACTGTACTGTTGTGATCTTCAAAATGTCCAACTGGTTGCATATCAAGTCGAGATAAACCACTCTGAATGCTTGCATTGTCACTAAAAAGTTAACAAATAGAATGTATTTTATTGCAAGCAGAATAATGTGAAATCTATACCTGATTGGTGTCAAGTTGATAATTTTAAGATCTTTTGATGCTACAGCTAGAATATGGAATGATCTACCCAAATTTGGTGCAAATGCAAGGTCATGGACAGGCTCTGTGATATTGTTTAAAGTTTCAGTTTTCGTCCACCTACGACTGGTCTCGCTATACTCAAATATTAACACCTTTCCACCGTTGGCCGAGTTTGCGTCGTCACTTTCCATAGCTAGCATTTGTGGATGCATTCTAAATGTTTATAATTGAATTGATAAAATAAGCATGAAATATCCTAATTTTTAGTTAATTACTTTGATAAACTTGGATTCCAACTTAAGCAACTGCATGATAATTTGCATTGCACTTCATGTTGAAGTGGCCATTGACTTAAATTCATCACATCTGGTGCTTCATTGATTCTAATAACCCCATCAGTAGAGCATGTTGCAAGCTGTAAACCTTGACTTTTTGGACCAAACTTAACATCAGTAACAGAAGTCCTGGAGTCAACCAGATTTGTTCTTCTGACCCAATGTCTCTCTCACCTGGTCCAGGAGTCTCACCAACTATTAAAAATTTAAACTTTTAGTAAATGTTTTAGGCATATAGAATGACTGGCTTCACCAATTTCTTCCCAAACTGCTGCAGTATGATCAAATGAGCATGTAGCAAGTACTTGACCAAATTCTGGATGAGCCCATGTTACTTTCCAAACAGAACCACTGTGAGCCTTCCAACTCTACGTTAGCGACCATTTTTCGTCGCTACTCTGATCCCAAACCTTTAAAATCAAACAAAGTTATTGTTTGAGTTTAGTTTACCAACTTATTAATTACTTTAACATACTGATCGCTGGAGCACGTGGCCATGCGCTCGCCATAAAAGTCAAAAGCAACATCGTGGATAAGATCTTTATGTTCAGCGTTAATTTCTTGTGCTTCAAACATCTTATTTTATATTAACCTCGTTCTCAGAAAACAAGCACTAGTCCCATATTGTTTACAACCGCGCTGCAGCATTGAATTAAACAGAAAGTGACAATACGCACGCGCGGTTAAACGAGTGGAGCGCGCAAAATTACCTTTGAATGAAGGAAACAATAGTGCCTTTGATTTTTTTTTTAATTGTTATATATTTGGCTTGTTGTCAGCAAGTAATTGTAAATAGTTGACAAATATTATTTAATATTTTATGATATATTATTTAAAATTAAATTTTGAAGGTTTTTGCATCGAATGTTTGAATTCATCAACACTTGCTTGGCATTTTGACCGTTCCTAGAATGTTACATTTGAAAGTTGCAGCTATATTCAATGCGAGTAGTATGTATATTGTTCATTTTTATCAATTTTTTCACATCTGCTAAGCAGATGAGTCGAAGAATATTCCATTGCTAAAGAAGGTAATGAAAAAAATGGTATTTCCCACTACGTGGTTTTTTGGAAATTCCAGCAATATTCATTACATCCAATTTATTGCACTTTTCCCTCATTTTTACCCATCTGTGATACATGTTGTACTGACCTATTCTCCTCCCCCAACTTTATCTATTCCGGTGGGGTGGTAGTTGGAATCAAAAAACTAGAGAGTGGTCAGTGTGTTTTGAATTACAACCCCGGCTACGCCACATTCACTTTTTAACAAGTTTTTCAAGTTTTGACAATTTTTATCATGTCGTAAGTAAAAGAAAACTTTCTCCTACATATTATTATATTACTAATTTTCTACTTTTTGTTATACTTATTAGTAAACCTAACCGATCGAATAATACTTTGGTACCATCCAATGCCGTTGGGTTAAGAGAAGAGGTCCCTCTTACAGAGGAGGATTTGCTCCAAATACAGGAGCTGAGAATAGAATACATTGATGCCATGAGGGAGAACACAGCGGCCATTTTACACCTGTCTGATATAATCAAAGCTTTAGCGGATAAATTATTGAATGTGCATAAGAATAAATAACTTTAAAGATATAAAAATATAAAATATAAACAAGATAATAATAATTATTAACTTCTATTTTCCAAAATGATTCTATTTCTGATTTATTTTCCTTTCTGCAACAACTGTCGATCCTCTTTTACACTCTCTGGTTCTCTCTCTAACAGGTCTTCAGATTTTTTAGGTTCTTTGTTCATCGTCATCAAATGTTATGTTTTTTCGCATTTATGAATATTTTTGAAGACTTACATTATTACTGGAATGCGAGACAAAGAACGGTTTTGGTAATGCTGCTGTGCTTCTAAATCCCTTCTTAATATGAACTCTTATAATTATTATATATTAAGGCACAACCCAAAAATACATTAACCACAAAATTTGGTGAGCCGTGTTCTGAACTGAGTGGTCGCAAACAATTTAATTTTAATAATATTAAAAAAACAAAAGATATCAAAATTTACACAATTCATTTGAACGGTTTTATGAAATCATAAACTAAAATTTAAAATATCTTAACGAACACGTATCATTGCATTTTAACTTTGCAATAGACAATGTAGTTCATCTATTATATTTGTTAAATTCCAAATGTAAAGCATTAGAAAAAAATTTGCACGAATTACGATGATCATAAAATGCAAGTTGCCATAATGTGCAATTTTTTTTCGGTGTACAGTTTATTTCATGATGCCATCAGATACCGTAAAAATGCCAATTTTCTTTCTTAAATTATCAATTGATTTCCTTTATTTTATGGTGAGTTAAGTTAACATAGTACATTACAACTGAATACGTCAGTTTGAAAACCTGTAAATATTGATGTTCTTTATACAGTAGAGTCCGGTTATAATGACATCGAAGGGAATTGACAAACACGTCATAATAAGCGGACGTCATACAAAGCGTTTTGTGAAATGAAAACCCTTTTTTATGTAAATATGTACATACACATACATATTAAATCAAAATCAAAATTGCACGTAATCAGCACATTATAACACATACAAGTGTATTTTTTACTGCAAGTAATCTGTAATTTTTGTCTGCATATTAATGTTCATAAACATTAAAAACCTAGCACTTTCAATATCCCATCCCATGCTATTCCATGAAAGGTTGTGTGTCAAAATTCTTCACTCTAAAAGAACTATTTATTAGCAATGCACTACACAGTTTAAAACCTAATATTCGGTATAGGCTATAGTATTAGTATACGTATTGTTCCATTTCTTTAACAACAAATCCACATAAACATGTACCAATAACATGCGTAATAGAAAGAGGAATCAAGGGTATATTCAATTGCTAAAAATAAATAGTATATTATTAAATTTGCTTTTGATTAATATGAAACTTACAATTAATTCCGAGATAACAATTAATCCAACCGTAACACCACTGATTAAATATTGCATAATTAAAGGCCATTTAAAAATAGCAGCAACTCGGTCCCAGATTCTAAAATTTATTTAATAGTAAAATATGGTAAAGATTTCAAACAGGCTTTAGAGAAAACTAACAATTTTGTGATACGCTGTAATTGGTAGGCTTTTACTGATTTCTGTAGCCTTATTGCTTTACTCTGTGTCTCTTGACTTTCTTGCAGAATTAATTCAAACTCTTGTGCACTAGCTTGCGTAAGCAACATCACAGTATACAGAAAAGTGCATGACGTTAAAGTCGCAACAAATAGATATCCGTATGTGATCCCAACCAAGCCATTAACAAGTTCTCGGTAAGGTCGTTGACCTAAATCAATGAAGAGATCCTGCTAACATATTTCAGTTAAATTGTTTCTTTCCAAAACATCGATTTCTCACGCTGGGGCATAAAATTCCGCAGGCATGTTTTAATGAATTTTCACCGCAAATTTCTATTTCACCAGCGAGGAATGCCGTAGTGAATCCCAGAACACCCAATGTAAGACCAAATTTATAAACCAAATTGGAGTAGAAAATAACGTGGCAAATTCTTTTTGTCAAGTACATCAATTGTTGCGTTTCGATCAACTGCCCGACCACATGTCCAGGTTTTGCAAATGTTTTTAGCCACATCATTATTATGAAGGCAATTGTTGATGAAAGAAGCCATGATAAAACCTTAACCCAAACCTTAAACAATCAATTTAGTCAATTCAGTACTATTCGTCACTAATATTTAAAAAAAGTTTTACTATATAGAGTTTTTATGTAGTTTAAATTTCCAAAAATAGTAATTGCATAAGCAATTGTGAATACATAAGTAACTAAAGTAGCCCTAAACGCATTGTAACTAATCCAATAATAATCTTCAGCTGTGGAAAAGTTGTAAAAATGTTTTCTTGTAATGCGCATATTGAAAAGTATGTCATTCTTCAACAGTTGGTGGAGAATTGTGAAATAATATATTTCTAAAAGCAATGATTAATAGTTGTCTACTAAATTATTTAATTATTAGATTTTTAGTATGATTCGGTAATTTTATCTATTAACGATCTATCTACATCTTATCTATTTTATCTATAATGTTTATCTACAACGATGATAATGATAATCATAATATAAGTACATATTAACGAAATGTCAATTTTATCTACTCACATTTGATTTGCGGTGTTCGATACACCGGTAAGTAACATTTTTACTGTTTTCCTGCAATTAAAAAATTGATATCTTAAACTTATTTTTGCGGAAATTTCTTCCAAGTACTTCGCAGAAAATTTAAAAATGGAAATTCAAACTTTTTATTGCGGATACCTTCATAACATGTGGTTCTGAACTTTTTATGATAGTAAAATTTTACTCAAGGACCCATAAGTGTGTTATAGGTTTATTTACATATATGTACATATTTATTGTCAATTTTATCCTCTACGTAAAAAATGCTTTATGACCTATTTTGACACAGCTATTGGTTTATTATTATTAATATTATCAAGATTTTTTAAATTAATATAATTGAGTATAGTCTGAGAGCCCGTGACGTCCAGACTTTCATCAATTCAGCAAAGATGAAAATTTGTCTATGTGTGTCTCCAGCACAGGTAAGAACGATCGCCAATTTTGAAACGTGGATGGTGGTTCCTTTGGCAGTTAACAGCCAACAAATATATGATGACCTAAGTTTCGTTATTTTAGCAAACTCCAATTTTGCATATTTTATTCGTAAAATTATTATAGCATGCGCTGCTCATTGCCAGACACCTGGTACGGTCCTAACTCCAGCCAGATACCCCTTAATTATAATATTTTTAAATTATACTTACGTCATATTAGGACGGCTGAATTCTATATATATAAATATTATTCAGAGAGCTATTAAACTGTGTTTTCTTAGTCGTCAGACAGTTTGGTGGGTACTATCATCCTGCCAGACGCATTGAAAGTTGCAAAAGTTAATTGTTTAAAAATTAAAATTTCACAGAAAAGTAATTTTATTTTAACATATTTTAATCATTTTCATTATTGTTCTCGATACCGCGACTGAAAGTGATCAAAATTGCAATTTTTCGATTTTTGACGATTTATTTCAATTGCGATTCGTTCCTTTCTATCTCTTTTAGTTTACGAGATATTCGAGATATTCCTTCCGATCTCTGTCTCTTGTTGGCATTCACGCCCCTGGCCACGTCTTCGGACTCCAGTGCACGTGGCGGTGGAGGAATAGGCATATTTAGAATAATTACGTATTCAATGAAGAAGAAAAATATTAGAATAATATTAAATTGAAAAATTAATTAAGATTGGGTACTTGTTGACATCTAAATATAAGCAAAATTCATAACAAAACGAAACAAAAGATACTGACAGTAAAATGGGAAATATTTAGTTACAAGACAAAATAGTACCTATAATACTCGTAAGTATCAAGTACGCTACATGGCACCCTAATCTGCTGTTGTATAATGTTAAACGACGAGATGTTTTGCAATTTTCCTACTTCCACTCTATTGTTTTCTATAATTTTGTATTTGTATAACTTTTATTGTAAAACTTTGATCTTCCTTAGTACACTACAAGGAAATGAAAGGATATAAATATATAGGACTTCGCGGAATCACCCAAAACCTGACAAAAGCTG